AATAACTCACCGACAGTCGTTATCATCACCGTGGGGATAAGATTTCAGCCTTATCTTATCTTTCAACATTTCACAAAACTTTTGCAAACGGGAGAATTTTCAAAAAAAATGAAGAAACGTGTCTCGAAAAAAAACAAAGCAATTCGCGCCGATATTAACCTAAAAAGAATAAAAATAAAAAATAAAACCATCTCAGGTACGCCGGTCCTGACAGACAACACTCCAGTCGAGTCCTAATGTTGACCCTCCCTCTCCTAAACGCCTCCTTCCCATCCCTCCTCCCTCTCCCCTCTCCTTCTCCCTACTCCTACTCCTCTCTCTTCCTTCTCCTCACTCCCACGCAAGTGAGAATGCTTGTTTGTTTGTTTTCGCTGTCGCTAGCCCCGCGTCACTCACAAGGGATGCAAAACCCAGACGCGCAATGAACATGCAATCGCGCAAAAATTGGAAATAAAAGCCCAGACATAATTCTCGTAAAGCATTAATGAAAAACAATTCCCAAATCCCGCAACACACGCTAACGCACATACCTCCGCGCGTAAACACACGCTGCGTAACAGGCTCTGAGATCCCACAATTCCTCGCCGATGAAGCGGATGAAAAGCGACCGCGTGCGCCAGAGAGAAAAATGGCGCGATCCGTCTCCTCTGTTATACCCGAAGTATATGAAAGACCGACAGTCACTGCCACCGCCGCCACAGCCACCTGTGAGTTGACTGCACCCCCCTCACGTCCCTGGGGCCCTCCCTTCCCCCGCTTTCCGCCTCCCACCCGACTAACCCTCCCTCCCCCCTTTCCCCCTCCCACCCCCAACTCACCCTCCCTGTCCCCCCTTCCACCCTCCACCCTTCACTACCCTTCTTCCCTCCACCACCTAAACCTCCCATTTACTCTTCCATCCCGTGATCGCCCTCCCTTCCCCCCCATTTCCTCCCTCCCACCACCCCGTTCCCCTCCCCCCGCCCTATCCGTCCCATCTCCACCCCTTCGCCAACCTCCTACGCGGGCACGCAACATCTCGATCCGCCAACCTCGACCTTCCAGTCTCAAGCCATCCGCGACCATGGCCCTCTCTCTACCCTCTCTACCTCACAGGTCTATCATATTCTTCCTCTTCCTCTAGTCTCCTCACTTCCCCTACCTTATTTATCATCGCTTTCCCTTTCTCATCTTCGACCTATTACAACCTCTCTTATTTTTACGAATAAATATATATTTTTTCTTCACTTCCCTTAATCTCGAAATCCTTTTCTGACCCCGCGCCCTCCAACAACCCAATGGGTGAAAGTTGCACTCTATGAGGCTGGTTCTTCTTCGCTTTGGGTCAGGGAGGAGAGTGAAAGTGACAAGGAAGTAAAGGGGGAGGAGAAGGGAGGGGGAGAGAGGAAGACGGAAGGAGGGAGAGAAAGAGGGAAATGGAAGAGAGAGAGAGAAAATGGAAGAGAGAGAGAGAAAATGGGAGAGAGAGAGAGAGAGGAAGAGAGAGAGAGAGAGAGAGAGAGAGAGAGAGGAAGAGAGAGAGAGAGAGAGAGGAGAGAGAGAGAGAGAGAGAGAGAGAGAGAGAGAGAGAGAGAGAGAGAGAGAGAAGAGAAGAGAGAGAGAGAGAGAGAGAGAGAGAGAGAGAGAGAGAGAGAGGAGGTGGGAGGAGGGAGAGGGAGAGGAGGGGGGGAGGGAGAGAGAGGTGGAGGGGAGGGAGGGAGAAGGGAGAGGGAGAGGGAAGAGGGAGAGGGAGAGGGAGAGAGACAGACAGACAGAGAGGGAGAGTAAGAACTGAAATATCGTAGAATAAAATGTATTAAACATTTTATGAATGAAGATGATAAAACTGGTATACATAAACAATACTCTCAAAAATATCTTTCATTATCGCTCCTAGAAAACTGAATCCAGTGATTTTTTCCACATATTATAATCCCATTTTGACCAATAGCACTAGTACCTATAACTTTCACAAAAATATGAGCCACCCTCTCCCATCCAATATCATATTTCTTGAACACATCAATTGCTAATTAAAACCGGAAGTTTTTAATCAAGCGACTATTAAACTCCACTGATCTTCTAAACAAAACTATAATGTCAATTGTCCATTAGTAATTTTGCAGGTGTCTCCAGAGCTACGTGAGTAACATTTAGTATGTAGGTTGCTACGTTACAAGTGTATTAACAATGAATAATTAAATGAATCGAACACAAGCTCATTCCTTTACTCATGACGTCATAGATAGCAACTGATCGAGGCTTCCTTCCCGGTTATTGAAAACATTTTTTCGATACTGATGACTTATTTCTGGTAACTATACATTCAATAAAGAGATTTGCTAATCAAACTTACCCTAACTGTCGTGACGAGTCGGCATTCACTCAAAAATACGAGACAATAACATGTTGAAGTGACCTTTGAGCGTTAGTGATGCTCTTCTGCGCCTTTTGTTCGTCTTTTGTCGGATTTCTTCTCGATCCCTTGTTTTAGTGGGATCGGAGGAACGTAGTATCTGTACACTCAAACTTAAAGTATATATTGCATTGATTACTATACATGATAACCAAATTTGGAAAAACCGGTATTGTTGAGGGATCTTTTGTACTTCAATAACGCATTGACTATCAATAAAGACACTTTATACGATATATATAACGAATAGAGATCCGAAAGGAGTATAGCTCAAGTCGTCTATAGTTTTGTTTTAAACGAACTTACCGTTTATAGTTCTCCCAACAGCTGACAGTGAGTAAACAAACGTTCCAGAGAGGAGAAAACTTCACGCGTAAAATCTACAGTGAAATAAAGTAATGGTGAAAGATGTTCGGTTTTTCGGGACGTAAAGATGATAAATCTAAGCAGCAGAAGAGAGGACAGGGCCGTAAAGGTGGAAATTTGTCGCAGGTGAGTGAGCGGAAAACGGTGCGCTAATTTGGTGTTCAAGAATGACTGAACGAATTGTTCTCAGTTACTGACTTTTATTTTGAATCACACCGACATAGACAGTTATATTTAGCTACAAATAAGGCCACAGGGAATTTATATTTTAGTTAATTTCCTTATTAGATTACAGGAACCAATAACTTTAAGTCATTGTTGAAGTTTGTTGTCGGAAAAAACTGGCCCTTTTCCAATCTTGTATCCCTCAAAATTACTTTTTAAAAAATTGATACAAGACACCTAGGGTAACAAACAACTGTTAAATCTCCAACACATAAATTCTGTAACTGTTTCTTTATTTGACTGAATATTGCCATGGAGTTTCAAGTTGCTAGAATATGAATGTGCAGGTTTGTTGGTCTGTGCTGGTGCACCAAAAGCTTGGGGGCAAGTAACAGATATTCAGGTGTCTTGTAAATACTTATGTACCAGAGTATACTTCTTTGTCATTTATTTTGAGTAGAATAGTAGTAGCTTTGGATAATAATATTTAATAGGCTACATGTATGTTTTGTGTTTTTATATACTGGCCTTGCATTCATTTGAGCTCTACAGTAGTGCTACTTTATTCTACTACGAAATATGATATATGCTATAGGCAATACTTTGGGGAGGCAGCAGTGGTTTTCAGTTTTGTGCAATAGTGACTTTATTTTGGCAATAATGGCTACTTCTTCTAATCCTACTGGGGTCTGCCCCAGACCCCGTAGTCTCAGTATATTAACTTCTTGTAATAACCCTTCTAGTAGCTTACCATTTTTACCTTAAGTTTACCTGCTATCAAGAGAAACTGGTGGAAACACTTGTAGGGCTCCAAGAAATGCATTGTGAATAATTAATCAATTAATTCTGCTCTTATTTCCAAATTTCGTACAATTCAAAGGTTCACTTTGCACACTGTGACTTACGCAAATGTCAATAACTTTCAAAGACTTTTCACTATATTGCCCTAAAAGGGACGTGGCCAATATCACATTCAGCGCAAAACATACCAGTGACTATCAAAGAATAGTTAAGGAACTGTCGAAAATCCTCGTTAGGAAAATGCACATGTGCAAAAAAGACATTACAACAAAAAATCCAAAGTAATTCATAACAAGCATATTTTGTTTTTTATAATATATACTTAAAAAATATAAGATGCCCAAATATAGTGGAGTAGATGGGAACTATTAGGAAAAAACTCATTTTCACAAGCATGTAGTAACACACAAACTAGTTGACACATCACAGTAATGAGTTGTGCAGTCAGTTTACTATTCAAGACCGCGATGTAGACATGTAGAGCGACAGAAAAAAATCACTTCACACAAGAAGTTGTAACCACAATATGTGAGAGCACTCATTTTTTCACTTTCATGGTGTTGATTACATTGTAAAGAAGGGGAATATATGTTTTTCTTTATGATATAGTGCGCATAGATATCCTCTAGTCTTCCCATTGGTTTTCACATTTTATATATGCTAGTATATCTATACACAATGACTGCACTATTTTAGGGAAACTCGAAGGACACTGTCATAAAAAAAGCTATTACTGTTATATGAAGTAATCTGCACAGGCAAAGAATATTGTCAAAAATGAAGCCTTACCTCACCCTTGCTTGTAGCAAATAATGTCCCTGCACAGTAACCTTGCATAAATTGTCATTGCCCATGTAGGTTATAAAGTTACAATCAACGATTATCACTGTTTTAAAAGAAAACACTATACTTTAAAATTATTTGGGAATTATGGTAACAGGTGGGGATCTGGGGGCAGAGATTCCAGCAAGAGAAATGCGACGATGGGGTCAGGGTTTGGGATTCCAAGTATTACACCCATGTTTATTGGCTTCTGCAGTATGGACTTTGTCTTAGAGGGGTGCAGTTTAGATAATTAGCATGTATGCCACTATTTTTATGTTCATAGATCTTAAACAGGCATTTACTATAATTGTCATTGTTAATGTGAAATTTGTCATAATGTGACAATACATGTTGAAATTTAATTAGGTTTAGATTTTAAAGTAGGATTTTCTTATAATGTGGCTTTTGTTTTAGCTAAATCCACTTGAAATTTTCATTGAACTGTTATGTGTTTAACATCTAAAGAGGATGTTTACTGATTCACCCACAGTGATTCACTTACCATAGGTTCTACTCATATCACCAGAACAAACCTGTGCCATGTAACTTTTGTTAAGGTAGAGCTTGTAGACATTCATCTAAAAGAGTGTGTGCTAGAGGTCCATTGACTTTTGCCAGAGTGTCAAAGGCACAAAGTCACTGTGGGGGTCTCAGTAACTTTTACCTAGACCCATATACCTCTTGCATATTATCACGATTTCCAAACATCCACTACATTGCTTATATTTGAAATATGAAATTCATCAGTGTCTGAAGATTGTTACTGAGAGTAAGCCAAGAATAATGTAAATTAAGGGGGATTGTTTATAACACAGTCATTATTGATGTTAAGGTATTTCTTCTAATAGTTCCACATAACCGATCATTATGATTTTGGTATTGTTGGATTTCTCTAGTGTCTAGTTTCCAAATATATAGAAATTACTGCATGGAAACCCCCCAAAATCTCCACATTTTTGGCCTGGATAGCAGGGGAGAGCATGAAAGGTTCTAGAGAAATTGTGGGAATATACACAGAATCAGTCACTATATTGTCTAATGCCCGCAACCCCTACCAAGAAAAGTAAAGAATTCACACAAGCACCATGTGGGAGCAGCGTTACCAAGTCTGTCCGACACTCTCTCCTGCTGTGAATATAGGGGTTGGACCCCATGGGGGTTTAGACAATATAGTAACTGATTCTGTGTGTATTCACATTTTACCCCGTAATTTCCCTGGTACCTTTTATGCCCTCCCCTGCTATCAGGGTCAAGATCGTATATGCAGTTTATACAGAACCACTTGGACCCAGATATTTCACTGCCTGCATGTGTGCAGTGACAAGACTCTATGCCTCTCTTTTGAACTCTCTCCATCTCTCTTCTCTCTCATTCTCTCTCTCTCTCTCTCTCTCTCTCTCTCTCTCTCTCTCTCTCTTTCTCTCTCTCTCTTCTCTCTCTCTCTCTCTTCTCTCTCTCTCTCTTCTCTCTTCTTTCTTTCTTTCTTTTTCTTTCTTTCTTTCTTCTTTCTTTCTTTTCTTCTTTCTTTCTTTCTTCTCTTCTCTTCTTCTTTCTTCTTTCTTCTTTCTTCTTTCTTCTTCTTTCTTCTTTCTTCCTTTCCTTCTTCTTCTTTCTTCTTCTCTTCTTCTTCTTCTTCTTCTTCTTCTTCTTCTTCTTTTCTTTTTTCTCTCTCTCTCCATTTTCCAATGCCATTAGATTTGCTTTTTGCAGATGGTAATAGAATGTTAACTTGAACAGACGCCATATTATCCCTCTAGGTAGTCCACAACTCGGTCCAACAATAATAACATTAAGTAATATTTGTTATTTACATGTTTTAAAATTTTTTGTGTTATACATTTTTCTATAATACAACTTGCATTGCCAGTTATTGGGGCCAGGAACAGGTTCCTGAGCATGGAAATAGTATCCTCCCTGGAACTGGCACTCTTCCATTCATGGTGCATGGATGGCACATTCCACACTTATTTGTCAGTGGAAATAATGCAAAAGCCCCTTCCTAAATGCCCACTGAGTCTAATCACCCTCCAACAGCTGTGTGCGCTCATTTATGAGTCATTCCCATCATCCTGGCCTTCAGCCAAAATTCTCATGATGGCAAATTACCGTCACCCCGGCCCTCAGCCAAATGTTCATATGAAGGCATGTTCATGTCACATGCTCCTGAGGCCAAATTTTTTCCTGATCGTAGGGGGTGACATACTAAGCTAGTTGTCTTCAGTTGGTTTTAATGCTTACTCTTTTAACCATTGCAGTTTGGCCTAATGGAAGTGCCTGACATGGACAACCTAACCATTGGAGGAGATGACGATGATGATGATGATGGAGACTTGGAGGCAGAGCTACTTGCCCTCACAGGGGGGGGAGAAAGGAAACCCAAGAAAGGTCAGTTATAAGTTGTTGTTTTTTTGACAATTCTAAAGTCTAGGACCACATCTACCCGAGACCAAGTTCTGAAATGGCTGTGGCGTCAGCATCTTCAGCACTCTGGGCATAGGCCGGCAAACCTTCACCTCGTTAGTTTTGCAAAATTGGGTTTGGGCTGGTTCTTTATATTGTGATAAATCACTTAGGAATTTGAAAAGCTTTATCTTGCCAAGATATGTATTTCTTTTTATATGTTTGTAATTGTTACAGACATCTCATATTTTTCAGAAGTGAGAAGTTCATTTGTAGGCTTCGGTTAATTTTAAAGAGGTTAGATATTGCAAAATGTATTACCATTAGTCTCTGTCCTTTATGAATCTCATGATTAACAATTTAGTAGTTCTTGAATCAATGTAGCCTACAAACTTCAACCATGTGGATTCTGTGAAATAGAGGCCAGGGTGGTCTACAGTCTCAAATTTGTCAGAATATTCACGGAGGAGGTCTGTTGTCCTTTATCCAGAGAACCAAAATGTGAAGCCATTGCAAGAGCATTTGCGTGACAATGTGATAAGCCTCTTTTTGAGAAGTAGCTGTGGACTTAACAACAATTTCTACCTTTTTTTTTTCCTCTTCTTTTCTTTAATTTTCTTTTTTCTCTTTTTTTTTTTTTTCTTCTTTCTTTCTTTTTATTTTTTCTTTTTTTCTCTCTTTTCTTTCTTCTTTCTTTTCTTTTTCTTTTTTTTTTTTTTCTTTTTCTTTCTTTCTTCTTTTCTTTTCTTTCTTCTTTCTTTCTCTTCTTTTCTTTCTTTCTTTCTTTCTTTCTTTCTCCTTCCTTCACTTGTTTCCTTTTGCTAAGTGTGGATGTGTTGTGTGTGTGTAGTGTTGGTGTGTGCGTGTGTGTTTGTCGTGTTGTGTCTCTACTGGTGTGTGTTACATGTTGTGGCCCCTCATCAAGAGATGCATTTGACAGGCATGGTGCGCCACATGAGGCTTAGGAGTTGCACTCTATCTCCGCGAAAACTATATTGTAAAAGCCAAAGGTTGTTTTCTCGGCGATGAAAAGAAACTCATCCTTATGACAATAGGACAAGTACATGGTTCAAAACACTTTTATATCAAAGGCATTCTCCTCATTAATTACACAGTGTCTACTGCGAAAGATTGTTAATTCTCATTCTGTAAGTTAAGTTAAGAAGACACTATCTGCGATTGTACTACATGATTAAAGTGCAAATAAAGCCAACTGTTCAATCACAAGGCCAGAGATAGTAATATCATGTTAACCCTTAGTTTGATTCGAGGATAGAGATCGGTTTTGAGATCCAAATCAGGGATCAATTTGGTCGGACTGTTTCAGAAGTTTGTTCGTGTTTGAGTGTTGCTGAATGGTCAATAACGCTCAATATTAGTATCGAGAATAATGCCACTTTTAGGATTGATCTTAGCCTCTAGTATCACATTTTAACTATATCCAACAAACTAACGCGACTTACACACATTATATGGATTTGCTACCATAGAGCTTGATGAAAGGAAGTGCCCCAGAAAATCCAAAAAGACTATACTAAGGAAGGAAGTATACATCGACAATATGCTTGATCAGCATCATAGATTACTATTCCTTTTACCAGAGCCGTGTGGTCTATATTTCAGGTTAGATCTCGTACTCTCTATTTCTCTCGTCACCTTTTACATCTCTCATCTTTATACTATCATCTACACATCTATACACTCTACTCTCCTCTCTTATCGAGTCATATCATCTATAACTTTCTATCTGTTCACTCTTTATCTCATCTATTCAATCATTCATCTATCTCTTTTCTCTTCTCTCTTTCTCTCCTGATTATCTCCTCATATATTCATACTACTTGCATCCCAGTATTAACATGCATCTTTCTATCCTAAACTCCCTTTTCTCTCATTCCTCTCGTCCCTTCTCGTGCTATCATCCCTCTCTGTCTGACTGACTACGTCTCTCATCCTCATACGCGTCGTATTCTCTCTTACTCCTGCACGTCCTACTCTCACTTACCTATCGACGACTCTTTGCGTTCTCCAAGCCTTCGTTGCTGTGCAGATAACCATATGCGTTCTGTTTGTGGGCCTTGAAAGCGAATCTGCGAATTCTCTCAAATTCATATCTAATTCTTGTGCTAACGTCAATTAATATGCAGAAGGTAGAGACTCTGTCATGACATCTGTGCTACCATGACTGTCTGATCTACTCGAGACATAAGATGCGATATGCATGTGGACGAGGGTCTGAGCGGTTGCGTGACATCACAAAGGTGGGAATACTCATCTTCTCTAGGCATTTGTGCTTTGTCTCTCCTGAGCAGTTCCCTTCTCTTAGCTCTCATCGATCACATAGGCGTACTCTCTCATGCTCTCTCTCTCTCTCTCCTCTCTCTCTCATCTCTCTCTCTCTCTCGTCTCTTGCTCTCTCATCTCTCTCTCTGCATCCGTACTCTTTCTCTCTCTCCTATGCTTTCTCTCTCTTTCTTGGCTTCAGTCTCTTTCTTTCTCTCGTCACTTTATCTTCTCATTCTCAGTTATTGCACCTCTCTCGTGTGTCTGTGTCGGGTGCTCCTGCTCTTCCCTGCTACTCACATCTCTTTCATCGTCCTCTTGCTCCGTCGTCTCTCATGATCTCTCTCTCTCTTAATCTCTTCTCTCTCTCTCATCTGCTCTCTCTCTAACTGCTCTCTCTCGTCTCCTCTTCATCTTCATCTCATCTCGGCTCATCTCATCTCTTTTCTCTTATCGTCTATTCTCATTTCTGGCATCTCTGCATCAGACGTCATGCATACTCTCTCTCTGCTACTCTCTTCATCTCTCTTGCGATCAAGTTCTCGTGCATCCCCTCGTCTCTCTCTGCTCACTGCTCAACTCTCTCATCTCTGCTCTACAGAAGTCATTACCCTCCAAGCGTGATCAAGTCTTTAGTCACGCCCGAGCTCGATCTCGCCTCATAACATGACTCCCACGCTCTGTTCCATCTTGCTCTCTCCTAACGTCTCTGGCGATCTCGATCCTCTTGTGTCATGCGTACTCAGTCTCGTCTCATAGGACGGCACAAGAGTAGAAGAACGATACAAAATTAAATCATCTAGTACAATATACCACTCATAAGGACCACTCTCCAGGTCGACAAGTACGAGAGGGTAGCATACTCTTCTCTGCTCGGTCTCTCTTTCTTCTCGTGTTGCATGCTTTACGATCTCCAACGATTCTGATGAGTATTAGCCAGTATGTTTCGACTCCCGAAGATGGCGACCATAGTGCATAAATGGATGAAGACCATGAATAGACTGCAGGAATAGCTGCAGTCGTAGACGATATAGGGAATTACAGCGTACGATCCTGACATTCGCCAAGCATAGTATCCGTGAATAGTAGGAGAAGAAGAAGACGAAGGCACCATAAAACCACAACGCAACGAATTAGACAAGTGACTACTAACTCAACAAAAAGGAGAGAGAGAGGCAATAAAAGAAGACTGACCATTCGCGCTATTTGTTAATGAATATGACGAGTACAGTGCTGCCTTCAGTCTGAAAGGTCTTGACGATAGGGCAATCTCAGCAAAGTAATTTACTTCGTAAACACTCTCACGCGCTACGTACTTGGAAGCTATCGTGCACTTATTCGCGATCAAACTTCACAACAACCAACACTACCACCGACATACCAGACTGAGGCTACACACCCGTGATCAAACCTAGAAAACTATCGCAACGAACCAGAGAGAGAAACGAAGAACCAGAGAAAGCAGAAAAAAACGAAAGGAACGAGAGCTGATCGCAGACCACGACACAAAGAGAAGACGACACAGTACCAGCTTCTTTCCTACCCAAACACACGAATAACCTCTGAGTCGTGGCCACGATGCCAGTGGCCTCCACCTTGACGCTCGTCCTCTCTCACCAACCCATCCCAACCTTCCTACATGCAATCTTTCCCTCAGTCCAAGCCCACCCAATCGCGCGTTATCATTCATCTTCTCTCTCCACCCTCCTTCTCCTCATCCTCTCTGCCAAGCGAACGCGGCCTCCACACCTTTCTCTCTCCTCCTCCTCCCACCTCCTTCACCTTTCTCGCCTCCACCATCCTTCCTTCCTTCCCACCCTCCTCTCTCTTCTCTCTTCCTCTCCCATCAATGTCAAAATTCTTCCCTCCCTTCTCTTATCACAGGAATCACAAATATTGAATTCCCTCCCTCTTTCAGCCCCCCCAAAACAAAGATTGTTTATCCAACAACCGATGCCCTTGACAAACATAGACACCAGTGACATGAGCAGCACCATGCCGGCCACCAACAACTTAAGGACTACGACGTGTGCCTCCAGTACAAAACGAGGCATGATCCAGATAACCTGCTCCAGACTAGGGAAGTTGAGATTCTTCTACTGTCAGTCTTGCAACTCTAGGTCTTGATTCTGAGAACTGTTGTCATAATCTTTAGTTGAATCATATGCTTAAAGTTTTGTTTCAATTCTATGTCTTGTGCTGTATGTTTGTAATTGCTGTCGACACACACTATCCAATGAATAGCGCACTGTATTATTTCCTGATTGCCCTTTAATCCCCCGGCCTTTTCTCGGCTTCCGCAATTATCGTCTTAGAATATTAATGGTACCTAAGCTTCACTGCTAGCGACTGCATCCTCCAAGACTCCTCCCACAATCTAGTTCACCCATTTCCTGCTTGAGCTATCTCTGTCTTCCAAATCATCTTGCTTCATCTTCTCATTCCTAATCATTCCTCATTTCCCACGTATACAACACTAACCCTGTAATAAATGTAAAGACCTCATTTGACCCTATAAAGTTTAAACCTTTCTCCTGGCTTAAAGTCCGATTATCCGCAACTGAGCCTGGCCTCATACGACGTCATTCGGCGTGCGATGATAACCAGACCATGGCCGATCCCCATCCCCATCCATCAGCCCTCAGGTCCTTTCCTCCCCGACCCATAAGCCACACCCTTTAGTCTTGTTATAATTAAAAATACCAGCAACCAGCCAGCCAAGAATTGCCTTGTCTCGATTTTGGGGACCCAGAACCCTAACTCCCTATGACAGCTGCGAACGGGAGCTAAAACAGCTCCTACTTGTGGAATCGTGCTTGCAAGATTGAGACGGGTGGCCATTGTCTCCTGTACGAAGTAAGCAATAGCTTCAATGCAAAGGCTTCTTGTTGGGAGAGCGTAATTCTCTTATTAGAAGCGCGAAAAGGTACTCCTCTGACTGCGGCCCTCAGAGTTAAGAGAGTTAAGACCTACAAAGAAATAAAAAAGAGAATCTTTATTGTAGAGATTAACATTTTTATGTTGATATAAATTATAATGTCCATAAAAGTTTATAGTGTGAGATAGTGATATGATAAGATTAAAAGCCTTATATTGCATTTCTTAGTTATGCATTATCATTACTGGTACGTACCTCACACAATAACATACTATGATATTTACAGTAGAAACCTATTCAATAGCTTTATCACCCAATAGAAACTAAACAAAACAATAATCCAGTAAACCAAATAATCTTGACTAATATAACTAATTTGAAAATATCCATTCTTCGAATACAAATCAATGGCCTTTCAATATCCTTCATAATCACTCCCCTCAATAAATAAAACGTAGAGCAAATTTTTAATACGTTCAAATATCAGTATTCTACCTCGTAAATGATGCATTATGATTAATCTGCCCTGTCAGCAGAATTTATCCCCCACGCTCCAACTTTCATCGAAAGTTGTAGATCTTTAATCCAAAACTTCAATCTACCGAAAAGTTAACAAAAAATACTATAACAACAATCCCCAAAACAAAACCGAAAGTCTGAAGCCATAAAGATATTTCCCTAAATTATGAATTAATCAAACGCGGCATACGCCAAGAATGATAACACATGACTACGCAATGAAAGAGACAGTCAACGACTAATCAACGAGAAGAACAATCCCCTCCTGGTAAGGCTACTGTCGTAAGAAAAACACCACAACCCATCTCACCCAAATCAAAGTGGAGAACGTCTCTTAGGCAATACGTCACCAAACGAACAATGAACTAAACGACACGCCTCTACCTAGGCTAACCCATATACCGTACAGAGGATGCTATGCGAACCCCCCATCCAGGAACACATTACATGAAAAGAACTCACGTCCTCTGCAGCAAGCAGCACACTTTCCTCAGCTATCTACTCTGTGTGCGGATCAGCCGAGTTTAGCCCGTCCTTTCCAAGTGACCCAGAATGAAAAATACAACCTCACGTCCGGCCGCGGGTGCTTCAGGACAAGTCCGGTGGGTGTGAGAACAGCGCGGTTGAAACTGCATTGCATATTCATTCAAGTTATGGTTAAAAGGATTTAATGATCTAATTTATCCCTGTCATATTTTTTTTCTTATAGTTTTTTTCTTCTGCCTATGATTCGTTAGTTCATTAACTTGTTTGCAAATTCCATTATAAGAAATGTTTTTGGGTGTCCTATATACGGCGAGAGAAGAGAAGGGAATGCAAGGTTAGTGGAGTAAGTGTGTAACTGTGATTTTGTTCTTCGTTTTCATAGTTAATTCAATCTGAGTTGTGTTGCAGTTCATTTTGTGATACATGCTTCTTGTAGGCTGTGAGAGAGATATATTTGGTAGATCTCTCCGTGTTGCCTGGGGAGGTGAAAGTTAGCTTGCTCAATGCTGAGTAGTTCTGTGGGTGGTGTTCTTGAGAAGAGAATGGATGTGGAAGTTAGGGAGGGATGCTAGGTTAGTGTGAAGGCGAATTCTTAGGCGTAGAGGTACATGGTGCCCTATTAACCTCTGGCATGAGAGAAAGAAATGAGTGAGAGGGAAGCTACATTGAGAAGGAGAAGTGAATGGTGGGTATGAGAGGAGAGAATCAAAAGGCAGTGAAGGGGAGATATAGATTACCAAATTATTCTAAGAGCAATTCGGTGGTTGGTAGAAGCTTAGCGTTGAGTGAGTAGTCCGTAGAAAAGGTGGGATACTAAAAGAAAAAGAGGGGGCTAATTTCCTTTGGTGGGATGGTTGCTGAGACAGAAAGAGGTAATGGAAGACGAGACGAGGTAGCGTATCTGTGCAGCTATGGCCTATAGTTGTATTGGGATTGCATTACAGAAACATTAGTCTATCATTGCTGCATTGCAAGTTAGTAGTACTGTCCTTCAGTACCAGTTTCACAGATGAGTTCCTGGAGTATGATGTCACTCCTAATGTAGTTTGGGTACAGGTTATCCCACCTTTTTGTTATTCATTAGATGTACTATCCCATATAAGGAATACCAAGTATTTACTGTATATAGCCTTTTTTCTCTCTATTTCCCTGTCACTCATAAAGTCTGAGTTAGACTTACGGTTTTAACAGAGTTGGTACTTTATTTGACATCGAAATTTAATTGATTAAGAATGAGTTTTCTTAGCTAAAAATGTCATTATATATGGTACAAAGTCAGTTTCGTGTTTCTTCTTTTCTTCTTTGTAAATTAAATTGTGAACATTATGATTACGAAGGATCATTATTAGAGCCAATAGCTAATTTCTTTTTGATCCATTGAAAAATAATTATCAGCGTGCATTACTTTTTTAAATATGGCAGAGGGGATATATCAAGAGTCCTCCCTGAGTTAGACACTAACAGAAATATATAAATATATATTAAAATTTAAATTGCAGGATTCCTCATCCAGTACCACCAACCGGCCTGCACCCCCTCCCCCACGCACAGCGCCACCTTCTGGCCCTCCCCTCCAGCGCTCCATGTCTTCCTCTGGACCCGCAAGTGCAGTGAGGACACGCCACACTGAATACAAGATGGCTGCCCTTGAAGCCAAGAAGAAAGGAGACAAAGAAACCGCCATCATGTACATGAGGATAATGAAGCAGCTGGAACCCATGTTGAGTGCAGCTGAGAGCGGGCAGGCTGTGGACCTCACAACTCTGCCTGGGCCACCAGGGACATTCGTCTTGCAGGCCTCACCACAGCCCAAGCCTCAGCCAGAGACAGGAAGGCAAATACTAGCTAGTTGCTGTTTGGGAATATTTTTGTTGTGTTGTTATAAGAATTTTACTTTACTCTGCTCTGATACTTAATCCTTTTACACAATATATTATATATATATATATATATATATATATATATTAGATATAATAGTATATATATATATAATAGCTATAGAAGAGAAGTAAGATATATTACTAAAAGATAAGAGATAGATAGATAATAGTATAAGATAGTTATAGATAATATAAGATTAGATATGATAGTAGATTAGTATAGATACATAGATATATATATATATATGTATATAGACATTATCGATATAGATAGTATTATATTTATATAAATAGATATAGATACAGATACGAACACACAGACACATACAAGATATTAGATAATTAAATGAATAGTAGATCCTCCACTAGAATTAAATCCAACCACACCACAGACATACTTCACGCAGATACCCCCCTCCTGTCCCACCTGTTGCTGATGCCCCTGCAAGTGCCCCCGATCCCCTGCAGCTCCCAACAACAGTCCTAGAGGCATTTTAGAACAACGAGCAAAGTAGCACTATGAACAACGACCAAGCAAAGGTATGGTAGTCACGTGTGTGTGCGAGTTGGGTGTGATACCAATTTCGTTATGTGGTAGATGTATCAGATTGTCTTGAAACGAATCAAATTGTAGATTATGATGTGAGTAACTAATTTCTGTCTTCTCCTTATATCTCTTTCTCATTTCTCATTTTCATTCATGTAACCATTAAAATGGAATGAGAATTATCTTTCTTCATCCCATATATATATAAAAGTTATTCCAGTATCGGTAAATGCATTTTGTTCTTAACTAATCCCTTTAAAAAGTAGAAGTGAACTATCATCATAAAACCATATGAAACAGATTATGAATAATAACTCACAACTAATGGTAAACAACCATATGCCGTTACCGCCATTTACTTTCCAGAGATGAAGAAATGCCCGCAAGAACGCCGTATGAACCAGCGCATCATGAAGCAGTTTCAGGATGCAATTAAGTATCACAAAGCTGGCAAACCTGTGCCATTTGATGAGCTGCCTTGTCCTCCTGGTAAGATGTTCTCCTCTTCTTCTCTCCTCTCCTCTTCTCTGCTCTCCTCACCTCCTTCCTCTGATCTTCATCTTTGTATTTGTTTACTGGGGTTTATTGCATGAAATTGGGATAATATCTTTTTAATACAATCATGGGATATGTTGTGATAAATGTTTGATAGGTTTTGAAGAAAGTTACAAATAAGATTTGTTGCGGAAAATTTGTTTATGCCAATATACATAGATATATATAGATCAGTAAGAATATTATGAGTAAACCCAATTTGTATTAATTGCTAATTGTCACTTTTTTTGCAGGCTTCCCTTCTATCCCAGTTGGTGACAGCCAGCCACCACCTGCTGCCTCCAGTACAGCTGCACCTCAGGCAGATCCCAGCACAGGTGGACCTCCAGCTGCTAAACAACCAAGACCAGATGCCGCTCAAGCTGCTGAGGAGAGTAAAAAGACAGCACCAACACCAAATGGTTTGTTGAATTGATACTTAAAGAACCTGCTCTGTTTATGGTCTTATTAAGTTTCTATGTGGATGTATTTTTATTCATATGTCTGTATAGATGTTATAGTCAGAAAGCAAACTGATATATCCTTTTGTCTTCATCTTGCAACCTAAATTTCTGTATCTGGCATGTTACTTTAGAATATATAAGGAAACAAAATAGTGCATACTTTGCTAACTTTCAGACCATCACTGCAAAGATTTTTACTGGCATTAACCCATTGGTGATGGATACTGAATTATCAATTCAGGGCAAATAAACCTTTTGACATCATGAATTTTATGTTCTAGTCACTGAGATGAGGTCTTGTGTATCCTACTGAGAGCTAGAAAGTTGCGCTTATGCAGGAGCAGCAAAGACTAATGAATACCCATGTTTGCCTAACGCTCCATAAGAATTTACCTTTGTTTTATTGGGCTAAAGATAATATTGATTTCAGAATTAAGGAAATGCCATGATTTTTATTCCAGTCCGCAAGGCACCCCAGTCTCGTGTAGAAAAGCAATTGGCTTTCCTCATTAAGAGACAGAATCAGTTCAAGCAAGCTGCCCTGGAAGCAAAGAAACGTGGAGAGATTGAGCAAGCCAAGGAATATCTCCGGATGAGCAAGGGCTTTAACCAGCTCATTGATGCTAGTCGAGGCGGTCTGCCTATTGACATGAACACCGTAAGTGTGTCGCTTCTTGGGTTAGTCAGTTATTTTTATCCCATTCTTTTTCATTTGCTTTTTTAATCATTTCTATCCTTGTATCTCCTTTCTCTTCATTCTCTTCTATCTTCTAATCTTCCTCTTCATCCTTATCCTTCTTTTCCTCCCCCCTTCTTCTCCTCTTCCTCTTCCTTTTCTTCTTCTTTCTCCTCCTCTTGTCCCTCCTTTTCTCCCTCCTCTGCATCCTCCCCCCTCCTCCTCCTCCTCCTCCTCCTCTCCCTCTCCCTCCTCTTCTTTTCCCTCATCCTCTTCCACTCCCTCTTCCCCTCCCTCCTCTTTTCTCCTCTTCCCCTCCCTCCTCTTTTCTCCTCTTCCCCTCCCCTCCTTTTTTCTCTCTTCTCCCTCCTCCCCTCCCTCTGCTCTTTCTCCTCTTCTCTTTCTCCTTCCCCTCCTCCTTTTGTTCCTCCTCTTCTTTTCCCTCTTCCTCTTCCTCTCCCTCCTCTTTTCTCCTCCCCTCTCCTTCCTCTTCATCCTTATCCTCACCCTCTTCCTTATTCTCTATCTCTTCTGCTTCCTCTCCATCCTCCTCCTTCTCCTCTTCCTCCTTTTCCTCCCATATTCTCCTCCTCCTCCTCCTCCTCTTCTCCGTCCTCTTCCTCTTGTTTCTCCTCCTTCTTATGTCCTTCCTCTTCTTTTCCCACCTCTTCTCCCTCCTCTTCTTTTCCCACCTCTTCTCCCTCCTCTTTCTTTCCCACTTCTTGTCCCTCCTCTTCTTTTCCCTGCTACTCTTCTTCTCATTGCTCTTCTTTTCCCACCTCTTCACCCTCCTCTTCTTTTCCCTGCTCTTCTTCTTCTCCCTCCTCTTCTTTTCCCTGTTCCTCTTCCTCTCCCTTCTCTTCTTTCCTCCTCTCTCCTCTCCCTCTCTTCTTTCCCTCCTCCTTCTCCTTTCCTTCCTCCTCATCCTCCTCTTCCTCCTCATCCTCTTCCTCCTCTCCCTTTTCCTATCTCCTCCACTTCTCTTTCCTCCTTCTTCTTTTCTTCCTTCTGTTCCTGTTGCTCCATTCCTAACTCCTTCATTCTATCTCTTCTATGCTTTCCTCCCCAAATATATAATCACATATATGAAAATTTCAGATTATCACTTCCATCAATACACATTTTAAACCCTCTTCACAGGTGCCAGTTCCACCTCAGGAACAGATTCCTACAACTAGCAATATAGACTTTGAACTGGTGGACGCAGAAGATTGCGTCGTTGCTCCAGCCAGTGTCAGCGGAGATGCAGCTGTAACTTATGCCAAGCTTGAAGAGGATCTTATAGCTCAGATAAAAGTGAGTTTTATTTGTTTATTATTATTCTTTTTTTTTCTTGCCTTTTCTTTAATTCTTTCTTTCTTTCTCCTTTCTTTCTTATCTGTAGCATTGAATAGTTATTAGTTCTTTCTTTATTGTTAATTATTATTATCATTATTACTGTTATTGTTATTATTATTATCATTATTATTATTATTATTATTATTATTATTATTATTATTATTATTATTGTCATCATTAATTATTAATTTCTGTTTTTGTTATTTTAAATTATTGTTATTGTGATGATTATACAGATAGTGGATTCATTCTCTCTCTCCCTTCCTCCATCCCTCCCTCCCTCCCTCTCTCCCTCTCTCTCTCCTCTCCCCCCCTATGACTTTTTTTTAAGTCTGTACACATCTGCATCAGATTGTAATTAGCAGATTTACTATATGATTGTATTGTCTAACAGTACAAAGACAACTTCAGAGTGAAGTAACATAAAATTGGATTGTATCACTGATATCATACTTTTGCTAGTGACAAAGGAAATAGTTAATGAATGTATTTTTTGCTATAGATATAATTCATTTATTTATTTTTTTGCAGATGTGTGCTCACACCCGTGAACATTTCAAAGCAACAGGTGACGTTGCAAGTTCAAATAGATTTGAGCAGTTGATACTTCACACCAAAAAAGATCTAGATGCAGTAAGAGCGGCGTGTAAGAGAGGAGACACAATACCACGTTTCCATTATGAAAATAGGTCCTTTACTATAGTGCAGTAAGTGTCATTTTCACATATTACTACATGACAAAGAATTAACTCTTAGGATTTTTTCTTGTCTTTCTAAGTAAGATATCGTTTTGTTAGTAAGTGAATGATTAATGTGTAGATATCTGTAGCATGTAGGCTGAGGATATTTTTATTAATTTATTTCTTGGAATTTATACCCATTTGCAAAAATGTTATGTGCCCAAGTGTACTGTAAAGCTGTCTTCATGTTAATGATATACTTCTTTCACTGCTATATTTCCAATTATGCTATACATTTTGTACTTTCAAATTTATCCTTCTTTCTCCGCAGATGTAATACAGACTTGAATGATTCTGATTGTGAGGCTTGTGTATTAAGGGGAGTCAACTTCAATGTCCAGAACCCTAATGATGTAGATACATATGTAAAGCTAGAGTTCCCATATCCATCTGTAAGTATTGTTGAAAATCTTTTGGACTTTAATGTTGTGACTGCTATTGTAAATGTAACGTGTGTATACAGATTTCTATATATGATTGCTTTTTTCATTTTTATATCCTGTGTTATTACATAGCAGTGTTGAACACATATTAAAAAAGGATAATTGTAGCAGTTTGTTTAGACTGGGTGTCTGTTATTACATGTTAACCAGAGATTTCCATTTCAGAATTAATTAACATTGTGAAACTGATTTGTTGCAGGACAAGACTTTCTTGAATAACTAAATTAGGTACCCATATATTCACTGATGACTTAGTTCTTGCTAAAATTAATAAACAATTATTTTTAGGACAACCCTCCCCAAGATCGTTCCAATGTGGTGAAGGACACAAACAATCCAGAATACAACCACAAGGTAGTCTTTAGTATTGACCGCAAGGCAAGAGCACTTGCTCGTGTGTTCAAGAGGCATTCTCTCAAGGTCCAGGTGTGGGCTAAGGGGTAAGTGTTGTATATGACCTTATGGTTAAAGAAAGATTCATTTTACATTAGGGTTAATGAATGAAGTAGTCCTCATGTTCTTGGCTCGTTATTTGTGTATCTTCATGAAAGTGCCTGTCAAGGTAATTTGCAGTAAAGTTCATCCTTTGAAGAGATAGAAATTCTTGAAACCATTTAGGGAAAGTTACCCAACTTCAGTCATATATTTAAAAGTAGTGATAAGTATGGAAAGAATGAATTATAAATTTTCACATGTGACCATAACATTCTTATCATTTGATTATTATTTCCAGTGGTTGGTTCCACCGAGATACGATGTTAGGCCAGGTGAAAATACCTCTGGTGGACTTGGAAACAAAGTGCACCATACATGAGTCTTATGATGTAAGTACTCTTTTTCATACCTTTGTAAAAAAAAAAAAAATATATATATATATATGTGTGTGAAATTAAGCAAATTTTGTTAAATAACATGACTTTGTGATATACAATATTTTCATCCACAAACTGATTTTTGATTCATTTTGTTCACAGTTGATGGATGAGAAGAAACGTATGGTTGGTGGGAAGCTAGAGGTAAAAGTCCGCGTCAGAAATCCTATTGTAGCGAAACAGCTCGAAAAGGTCACTGAAAAATGGTTGGTCATTGATGGATTTTGAGAGAAACAAATTAGGTTAATGGAACACTTTTGCAAATTTTTTTTTTCCCCATGAAGTTAATAGGCATTTTAAAATCGCTCTCTTTCTTCTTAACAGATAAAACGTATCTAGCTTTGAATTGTTTTAGAAAGGATTTTACCAAAGTTAGTTTTATATGACACTTACATTGCCGTTTCTTTGTACAGTTTTATAGATAACAAACGTGAAATTTCTCCCAAGGAACAATGTAACTCAAAACTCATTTCTCTTGCAGATTATATTTAATATGCATTATAGTTACCCCAGTGCATTTTTTAATCAAGCTTTATAATAGGTAACACTTATTTGTAAATTAATCTGTCCTGTCTCAAGCCACTGTCTCAATAAACATTATCTTATCTGCGTAGGATTTTACGGTTTGCCACACTAAAGCTCCATCACACTAGTACTTTTTCTGTTCGTTTTTATCTTGATGCATTAATTTGAGGCTTTCTGTATGTATCTTGTGCATTCGGAAGGCCTTCAATTCAAAGACAGTATCACCCATCTTTGTTTTATTAAATTTCCAGTTGAGAATCATTATCACTTAATTGTTTGTTTATTTTTTATTGATAAATTATGTAGAAGTTCAATAAACCTAAATTTATATTTCAGAATTTTTCCCATTAAGAGATGGTAGATTCCATTACATAATTATATTAATTCAGAATGAAAATATTCTAGTGATTTGGGCTTGACCTGAAAAATGGATTACTGTACTTGATAGTGTTTACTAGACAAGGAGGTCTGTGGAGTTTTAGGCGAAATGTACTCCTTAACCAACTTGCGCCGGGTGTCTTACATGTAAGACGCCTGGAAAAGAAAACATTCCCGGGCGTCTTGCTGGTGCGACACTAGGTCGGAAATCGTGCTCTGATTTTGTTGCCCATGGCGGGCGGCGGGCCTGCACACTGATTCTGAAGCCACACGGAAACTATTATTTTCGGCTTGAAAATGTACCAACGCTAGTGGGTTAAAAGGCTACGTTTTGTTTATGTGGACCGTGTGTTTGTTTACTTGTGAAGGTGATTCTGTGCTAGCCTGATACGGTAGGATCATTTTGGACACACAAAATTCATACAGAAGTGAAAAAAATTGATGGGAAAAAATTATAGTGTTATATGTCCTTATTAAGACTTATTGGCTTTAATTGCAACTGCCTTCATTGTCCTGCAAAGAGAGGAAACATTTGCTAACATTGGCTTCTTGAGATAGGCTTTGCTCTTATTCCTTTTCTTTTTTTCTGGAGGTAGGACTTGTTCCGTTTTTTTTTTTTTTTTTTTTTTGAAGTATCATAGCTGTGTAATGCTCACATGTTTATGACAAGAGAGGAAAATATGCATTTAAAGTTAGCCAGATTAAATAACCACAATAGGGGGAAAAAGTACTTGGGCCAAGTTGTAAACAGAAGGTTCGTATGATAAACCAATAATGTTTCCAAAACCTATCGCTTTATTTTGGTACACAATCAGGAAAATCAATAGTTTATTATATGATAATTATTTTCATAAAGATAATCATATTACATGAAAAAATATATATATTTATGCCATGAAATAAGATATTTAATATTTTATTTATAGTAAAGCAGACCATGATAATTTTTTTCTTGACTATACCAAGCACTGTTGAATTGAAATCCATTTGTTTGTACAGGATTCAGAAAGAAATATTGTTTTTTGGTGTAATTACAAGATGAACATGAATTCCACAGTGTTTACTTAACCCATCAGCGACAGGTAAAAATTTTGTCAAGTTAACGTATGCGCCGGCTTGTTGGCGCGCACTGGCAGTTCCCCTGTTTGCGCCCGGCTCGATCGGTAGTTTGCGAGCGACATATAGCACCTAAAAGCTTTTATTTTTCTAAAATTTATTAAAATAGTAAAATTTTGAAAGTTTACCTTCACTTTAGGTGCCATTGCCTAAAATCTTTACCATATAAATGAAGCCGCTACTAGTGGAGAAAAACAACCTCCGTCCGACGAGCCAGTAGCGCGGGAATGGGCATGGCATGATGCCCCCGGCGTTTGGTCCACAACAGCCATGGCATGTACGTACGTGACACCCGGCGCCAATGGGTTAATATCCAAAATATTATGTAGATAAAATACAGGTCTCTCCTCATCATAAGCCAATTACAGTCCAATGGCTGGAGAGGAACGTGCATCCCCAAAATTTAGTCATGGGAAATGTGCATCCCCAAAATTTAGTCATGGGATACAGTGCATTTTTTATGAAATCTCCATTTTGAATTTTGGTAGGGCTATATTATCTACCTTGTTTTCTCTTTAGTTACCTCAGTTGTTGAATGATTTCCCTTTTGTTTTGTCCCCCCTTTTTCTTCTTTCTTGTTTTCTTTCTTTTAATCAGTTCTCTTAATTAATAACTTTTTTTTGCTATAGGTATTCTATAAAATAATATTGATGTTCCTTTATTTAGTTCAGTGGATTTGAGGGATGTGATCAAAAACTTTGGATCATTCTGAAAACTCTGAAGCATTGGCCATCTGTTCCTATTAGGTCTTATAATTAGTTAGCCAACATGGTTCCTCGTGCCACTCTCACACGAGACAACATTTACAGCAATCAGCAGTCTATACAGGCAGCTGCATATATATTATACAGACAACTCAGTCAAGAAAATTACAGCTAGTGAGGAAGTAGAGGTTCTTTATAAACCCCAAGTAACAATGAGCACTGATGGTCAGTTACATAACTAGTAGCACTGAAAGCTCCCATTTGAAACAGTGCCCTTGCTTGTGTAGTAGAGACTGGTTACACCTTGCCAGGCTACTGCCATTGACACAGATGAAAGCCCTCATTTAGAACAAAAGCCTTGCTAAAGTTTGTGGCACCTGATTTCCAGACTTAGTTGCCACATGTGAAAAGGCTTTAGATTCATAATCTTCCTATGCTTTGCTTTGATTGTAACGTTTTGAAATGAGGAAGGAAATTGCAGTTACTATGTTCCAAGTGATAATTCCACATACGCATAATAGAATGTAAAGGTTATGGATATATACTTTTTTGTTTTTTGTTTGGATTACTGCCAATCATAAGTGCCATTATTATTTGATGTGGATTTATTTCAGTGTTAATACTCTGTAAAGGGCAAATTTAAGTAGCAGTTTAGGCACAAAATAGACTGTATCACACAATTTAATTTCTCCAAGACTATATTTTCTGCCTAATAATGGAAGATTTTGCTTTTTAAATAGAAGTGACTACTTAAAAGTTTGTAACTCATGAAAATCTTCCATATTCCAAAATCTTTATTTTAGAAATCTTTTAACTATAAAAGATATGCAAATGTTAATGGAGAATGTTATATTCTTTTATTATCTTTACTGCCATCCTAAAAGGCAATACATAACATAAATATTTGTAGTATATGAGGGTATGAATAGGGACTGATGTACTCGTAAGTGAATTGATTTTTATTTATGATTATGAGGAAGTTCAGGGATAATGTCATAATCTACCATATGTTTATTGGGTATTGGGGTCAATAAATGTTTAATTTATCTTAGTCTGTTCTTCTTTTTATTCAAAGTTTGCCCATTTTGTTTACACTTAGATTGCTCCACGAATGTTTAGTCATCAGTTATTCAATTGGCAGGCTGTTCATGACTTCACATGATTTCACCATTCCTTGATTTTTTAGAGATTTTCTTCTTATACAATTAATATTACCTTACCTGATTCCTCCATTCCTTAAATTTTCAGGGTTTTTTTTTCTAATGCCATTGATGTTGATGATGTTATTATTATTATTTGCATTATGATTATTATAATGACATTAAAATACTAACAGCAATAAAAGAATAAAGTGCAATCTTTCCAAAAACCAAAGAAAACGCTAAACAGGTGAAAGAGGAAGATATACCAATGGACTCCTTGATGACTAAGCTCATGTGGAGCTAGCTATGTGCAAACAATATTAATAAACTAAAATCACAGTGGTTATGGCTTGTATGTATTGCCATCCTAGTATCAATAGGTTAAAGAAGGGAAAGGAAAAGAATTATATTTTGATTAATATGTTTTGTATGCTTACTCAAATCTAATGCAAACTAAATGTGATATTATTGCCTATTCATTGTAGGTTAAAAAGTATAGTAGACATAGATTATACCATAGATTGGAATTAGCTGGTGTTAGGTAGAGTAAGGACTTGATATTGAGTACTATTGGAATCTAAGATCTTATTTTGAATCCAAATTGAAATTCAAAGGCCTGTGAAATGAAAAGGATTTTTATTACATTTAGAATTGTCCAAAACTTGGCCCGAAGTGCCTACAATGTTCTTGAATTGTGAAGATTACGCCTCAGCATCAAGGAATCTTTTTATTATTAATCCAAAATCATATTGCCGGTGTTGTTTAGTTATGATCAATCTTGTAATAGTTGTATAAATGGTGTTAAGCTTATGGTGTCATCAGTAAAGCTGTGTACTCTTTGTTATATAAATCTTAACTTATGTGTAAAAGGTGTGTCCACCAGTGGTTATTTTAATAATATTCATATTGTTGGTATTTGATACTTCAACAGATTGCTGCCATGAGTTAAGCTTGGTAATGTGTAAGGAGTTTTTTATGAATGTAATTTGTAAATTTCATTGATAACTAAAATATTCAATGTTCTCTTTTCTTGGAGTATGCTAAGAAATTGTCATTGATAGTGTGACAAGATATAAGTTTTGTAGTAAGTTGGTAATGTCTAGTGATTTTGAATTATAATATTGTCTTATATTCTCCATAGGAGAAAAAATATATTTAAAGTTTAAAGAAATTATATACATAAGATATAATAAAACAGGAAACCTTGTAATATTGTTTTATTTTTGGCATGATTGTTTATGTATTTTCCTTATAGGAATAACTTGTGAATAGTTACAAACACTTAACACTCTTTAATATTATGAAACATAAAGTTTAAAGAATGCTAGCCCATATGAATTGAAACTTAACTCTGAAAAAAATATAGTTAATGTTTTTTTTCGATTTTGACACAGGAATATATCTTGATATCCAAGCTACAACAGTTTGATATGACCTGTCTTTACTATACTGTGTATTTTTGTTACTAAATTGCTTCTGTAGGATTCTTGCACTGTCTATGTAAATAGAATTGTACATTAATGCTTCCAAAGACAGCATGCATCCACATAGAGGTGCAGCACATACTACAAATAAAGTACAACTCACACATGCAAAAACGTTCACACACACACACACACTCACTCACAGTCACTCACTCACTCACTCACTCACTCACTCACTCACACTCACTCATTCACTTACACTCACTCACTCACTCACTCACTCACACTCACTCAATCACTTACACTCACTCACTCACACTCACTCATTCACTTACACTCACTCACTCACACTCACTCATTCACTTACACTCACTCATTCACTTACACTCACTCACACTCACACTCACTCACACTCACACCACACTCACACACGAGCGCGCGCACACGCGCAAACACACGATTACAACTTAGTTTTAAAGAATACTAGCCATCATACACCGAAAAGTTGTCACTACCAACCACATGAATTTTTATTTGGAGAAAAAAACGTATCCATGTGTCTACAACAGGAAAGCAGTTGCGGTATATATCCTGTGGTGTGGATTAGCTTTATCTCTTCCGGTATCATATGAGAATGTCAGCCACAGCTTCTTATCTGAATACGACACTTCCCGTGACCTTTCTTACACAGAAGATGCGTCTACACGACAAGGGATCTAGAACTTTAGTGTTTTTATTAAAAATATAAATAATAAATACACGACAACAGATCTAGATTTTTTTAAAATTAAAAATAGAAATAATAAATATGTTATGTGAGTGCGTGTACGTGTGAGTGTTCGCTTGTGGCTGTTTGTATGCGTGTGCATGTGCGAATGCGTGAGAGAGAGCGCTCTAAATGTTGTCAAGGTCAACCACTCCAAAAGGAGAAAGAGTAATATAAGAAAGGAAGAGGAGAGAGAGAGAGAGAGAGAGAGAGAGAGAGAGAGAGAGAGAGAGAGAGAGAGAGAGAGAGAGAGAGAGAGAGAGAGAGAGAGAGAGTGGGGGGGGGGTAAGGAAAAAAATGAAAGGGCAGAGGTGTGAGATAGACCTGGGGAAGGTATCCTTAGGTCGTCCTAGCTCTTTCGTGAAATTCTTTAGCGGTCACACACACACAAACACATGGCATTCTAAGCATCAAAATAATATATACAGAAGACTGCATCGTCACCTTCCATTAAAAGATTTAGCTCGTCAGAAGCAAAAGGCCGCTTGACTTCGCATATTCAGCGATTTATGCAAATATAATGAATAGATAAATGTTTGTCTATTAATATATAAACTAATCCAACATGGATAAAATCCTAGCTGCAATTCCGAAACTAATGCACATATACAGTTTGCCACTCTTATAAGCCAAATAATTCCGGGAAAAGTGCAAATAATACTTTAATTCCATAAAGTATATAGACCCGGAAATGGAATAACTTTATGGTAAAAGATAGCGGATAGAGCTATACCATTTCATCCCACCAAGTCGACGTAAATCAGAATATATAATACTTGACCTCAAGTGAGTAATTGGAGAGTTTATATTCTCAAACTCTTCAGAACTCTCAAGACGCACACTCAAGGTATGTAAATTACACCGGAGTCTTACGTGCAGCTCAGGTTTTTATAACTTCCATTTAACTCTTTTCTTTAATTATTCCCCGAAAAGAAAGTTTCAATCCATTTCTTTTACTTCAATGCAAATAGCAAAGAAATCAGGGAGTACATGTATATAAAGAAGCATCTCTGTAATCTCGTAAAATAGATATGGGAATTGGGATTTCACGAGCGTACGATAATTTTTCCAAAAGCTTTCTGGAGAACTTCACTCCAACAAGTTGTCTTAGTGAGCGAGTGAACTTCAGTCATGTCTCAAGTGAGTGTGTAATTCCTTTTTTCTTCTTAAGGCATTCCCTCACTTTTGGAATAGTATTTGCTTGCCTAATCATGTAGCAGTATTTATTTGCTATTCAGATTGAGTGTATTTTAGAGTGCATCGAGTGAACAGAATGTGTTTAAATGGAATAGTGAAAGGTGAAGCACAGGTGAGTAATTCGAGTCTTATCTTTCACGACAGAGAATGGGATATCCTCTGTGTTTTTCTCTATCTCTCTTATTTCCTCCTCTTTCTTTTATTCTACGCCTGTCTTTTAGATTAGCCTTCAGCATGTCCGGGAGCTCTGGCTGACCCGGAAATGCTGACCGTTGAGCAATATGAACTTCTCCATGGACTACAAACTCAAATAAAAAACTTGTAAGATAGACAATAAACGCAAAAAAAAAAAAAAAAAAAAAATTAATGATACATAGTAATGGTGAGGATAAGAAAAGAAAAGGAAAGTTATATGTTTTCATCAATGCCTTAAATCATCCACGGAAAAATTATAGGCGTTGCGAACTTAAAATCTGAATTAGGGAAAAAAGGGGAGAATTACGGACTGTAGATATATGGAAGTACAACAATATAAGAAAAGAGATTATTTTTTTCTCGGTGTCTAAAGCTGTCCAAAGGTAAATGTGATAAAAATTAATATAGAATAGTAAAAAAAGAGAGAAGACAAAGATTAAAATTAGCGAAAATAAACATTCTCCCAAATTGCCAAACAACCCAAATACCTTACTTTATATAAAAAAAAAGTAAAAAAAAAAAGGGATGAGAAAAGTAGAATATACCCGTTATCCTTCAGAACAATAACAATTACATAAACAACAAAAATATAAACCAAAAAACAATAAAATTTTAAATTACCCAAAAAAGAAATGAACTTCCTCGAAAAATAGCAAAATATTACACGACCTAAAAAAAAATATAATGTGCGCGTTATCCCATCGAGTCGATTATTGATCAGCCTCAGAAAGCCAAAATCTTTGACAATCCTCTCCATTTTCCTCATTTTCCGCCAAAATGGTAAGTTTTACGAGGTCTTGAGTCATTTATGAGCGTTTTTCTTGAATCGTAGTGTGAGAGGAAGGTGTTTAAGAGAAGGAAATAAGGGGAAAAGGGCTTTAAAAGTAGATATTACGGGAAAAATGAACTATGGGTGTGGCTGAGTGAATGCTATAATTATCCTTGTTTATATTTTCTTGTTTATTTTTCTCCTTATTATTTTTCTCCGTATATTCGCCTTGTTTTCATCATTTTATTTCTATATGTTTATTAATTAGAGTGATTAAGGATGAAGATCGAAATGCAATACCTGTATTATGAAGATATTGATTATATGGATTTTTTTCCTATGTATGTCCCAGTAATGTCATAGATATCATAAAATTAGATTATTTTTGTGATGTTTAGCTAATTGTGCTGCATTTTAGATTAGAATCCTTGTAATTGGGGCTATTCCAAGGGGGCGGCAGAATGACCGAATCAGGATTGTGTAAATCGCTACAAACTTGGCGACTCGAGCATTGAAATTTTCGTAGAATGAATTCATTTGGATTCAATACTTGTCTCAAAAGTTGCTCTTGCAAATACTGTTGCTTTTGAAATCGTCAAATGCACTGTAAGCCATTAATAGGCACCTACTGGGGCCCCTTTAGATCGACAAATTTTGAGTTTTATCCTTATGTTCGTTATTTTTTCATTTTTGTTTGTGTTTATGTTTCTGAACCTTTAAGTAAATCTTTTCTAATTCGCTCGGAGGGGATTGATAAGGAGGGAATATGTACCTAACTAAAGCCATTTTGAGAAGCAAATAGGCAGCGCACTTCAAGAGCTTGTTATGTCACCCTCGTTTTATTTTTGTGTTATTTGTTTGTATATTTATAATTTTTTTTTTAATTCTTTCTTTTAATGAGATTGTTTACATTCTTGTACTATATACAGGTTTAATAGATAAGAGCTTAAGATTACTTTGATAAGAAATTTGTATCAAATCATTGAAATGTCATCTTGAAAATGTGTGTATAATTGGGAAATTATTTCTCAGATATGAAATATTTTGATAATTCTGTCGTGGAGAGTATTAACCATCATTTTTCAAAGCTAGATGTGTGCATTTTCCTTTAATGAGGGAATTAGTGTTATCTGCCGGCTGGTCTCAGTTACTGCGGAGAGAGAGTGAGTGTGAGTAAGGGAGTGAATGTGTGAATGTTAGTGAGTGAATGTGTTGACTGTTGGTGAGTGAGTGTGTGTGTGTGTGTATGAGTGAGTGAGGGAGTGTGTATGTGAGTGAGAGTAAGTTAGTGAGGAGGTGTGTGTGAGTATGTGAGGGAGGGTGTGAATAAGTGAGTTTGTGAGTGACTGTGAGTAAATGAGTAAGTGACTGAGTGATTGAGTCTGGGAGCATGTGGGTGATTGATGTTCTTATGTGCCTTACAATTCAACTTAGTTCATATATGCAGATCTGGCTTGCACCTAATTGAATAAGTTATCAGATCTTCAGATTGTAAGATTTTATTTGTGAATAGAAATATTTCAGGCTAATTAAACATGGAAACATGAGCATGAAAATTTGTTTCCAGAAGATTGTATTTTTATCAAATAGTAAATATTTGGTTAACAAATTGACCATGTGAAGCATTAGGTATCTCTGAGTGTCTAGATGTGTGCATGTCCAAGCAAAAGAAATTCACCAGATTTGCATATGAGGAATTGATTTTTTTTTCACTAAAAAACAGCTTTTCCTTGTTACTCTTCTCTTTCTTTACCTTTTGTGTATGTGTGTTTGTGCGTGTATCTCGCATATATTTGCCACAGAAAAAGTTAATATTACCCCGTCTATCCCCTGTCAGTAAGGAGGAATATTGTTTTGTGAAAGAAAATGAGTTCAGTATAGTAAAAGACCATAGGAATTATGTATGTGATTTTTTTTTCTCTATATTTTTTTATGCTTTTAATTTTTTGAATTCTGCATTTTAGAGGATTAGTTTTTTAAGGACTTGAAAAATTATGATTAAATGTTGTATGAAAATATGTCTGATCATACATGAAAATATATGTTAGCCGATCATACTTCTTGGTTGCTCATTCCTCATTCTAGATATTATAAAATTAACATATGTTAGCCATGTAGGTGAGAATTTTACATTTGATCAGTTACTCTCTTCATGGTAAAGTCATAGCTGATTTTAAGTATTTTCTTTTATTTTATTCACCTACCACTGTTTACATATTCTTTTAAGTTTTATATTTTTCACTTTCCCAACACTGATATTATATTGGGTTGTTCATTTTCCCTGAGTTTCGGCATGTAAAACTTTAGGAAACGGGGTAGGGATGTAATAAGAGGTGGCGACTGTGGTTGTACCTGTTTGTTACTTTTCTGTGCTTATTTTTATAACCTTATCTTTTGGAAGAAAATATTGCTTCTTAAATATTTCTTCTTATGTTTATGTATGGATGTAGAGGTGATAGAGAATGAGAACAAAGGATATGAATTTATTTGTTTATTTGTATCACATGGGTTTAATTCTACTTTTTTTTGTGTGTGGAAACAGATATGTTTTTAAGCTTCTCATCTCAGATTATTATGATGTGAATTTTAAAGGTTCAATGTTTCACATAGTTTTAATTTTTTCTTACATTTCATGTGATTAAGAGAGACCCTTCTTATCAAAGTGAATTTAATGTAATTATATTCTATCATGGTATAGGTGGTACTATTCCCAGTATTAGGTTTGATATTACACCAATTTCTTCTCAATATTTTTAGCAGACCAACTTGCAAGTCCAGAGCTCGATAGTGGAGCAGCTGCGCCGTGAAGCGAGCATCAAGCGCACTCCTGTGTCTGAGGCCGTGGAGGACATCAAGCAGTTTATCCTCCAGCATGAACAGGAAGATTACCTCCTAATTGGGTTCTCCTCCCAGAAGAACAACCCCTTCAGGGAAAAGTCCTCCTGCGACATCCTCTAAATCAAACGTGCAGTTGCAAAAAACTCTTGTAAGTATGTGATTTTTGTTAAGAATTTGATCAATCAGTTACTGTTATATATATGTGATTTCTGTGAAGACTTTGATCAGTCATTCTTATTTATAAACTATTTTTCACTAGTAGTTACACGTTTAACCAACTGCTATCATGTTAAGTTTTGTGAATCCTTTATATACAATTCACAAGTGCACAGCCACTGTGGATTAGGCTCATGTGACACGATTTCCTTTCTTTTTTTATACACTGTTGTTATCATCATTATTATTATGTTAGTTACAGCATTAATTGCAATACAAAAAACACCAGTCAGATGTAGGACTTGGAATAGACATATTGATTGCAATCTCAGCTGTTAATTTATCATTATTTTTAAATTGGATATATCCAGCATTTTCTTTCATTCAGGTGGTTCAAAAGCATTAATGGCAAGATTTTCGTTGTATTATTAATTTTCAGGAGTATTATGTTATATAAATTTTTGAAGTAGACTTACAGGTGAAACTAATTCTTTAAATTTTTAATGTGCCTTTTCTCTTAGTTTGCAGTGTGGTTGGTGTTACAGTTCTGGGGCCAAGCATCTCATCGATCTCAGTATTTTGCCTCAAATGGAAGTTTAAGCCAAGTGCTACTTCTGATTTTACTTATACACAAAATTGTACAACTGGGGAAAGCTTTACTTTCCCCACAAGTAGCTTTGTATGTCAATAAAAATGTGAAAAAATATAGAATTTATTATCTTTCACTCCAATTAGATACTAATATAGATAATTTATAATTCTTTATTTTAAGTTCAGTGTTTTGTCCAAAACTTAATCAGTACTTAAATGAAATGTGGTAGTTATAAACAGTAATTTTCTGATTGTGTGTTACTATAGGTATCTAATAAGTAAGTAAGGATAAAATTGTGACAATAAACATCCTGGTCAAAACTTTCTGAAACAGTCCTAACAAAGAAAAGGTTTAAAAAAACGACAAATCAAAGATTTTATTTACTAAGAGCACCATGGTAAATAATGATACAGTATGAAACAGTAGCCAATTATAATATCATTGCACTGTACATGATACAATGAAATCTGTAAAAAAGTTATATAAATAAAATCATTGCAAATTTACAATATCTATGAATTGAATCATTACAGACCTGAATATTAAATAAAAGCAAAGACTAATAAGAAAATGTTCTATACAAGGAAATCAATCGAAGCCTTTGCTCTCCCATCATTTAACATCAGCTGATGGCATACTCAACATTCTTGCTATATCACACTCACACTTTCTTGTCTATCCTGTTGGATCTTTCCTATTTATCCTATCTGTCCACATTTTAAAAAAGGAAAAAGTTAGCCTTTTAAGAAGAATAAAATCACTTCATTCCTCATCTGAGAAACCATTTCTTTTTTCAGTAATAACATACTGCCTTAAAATAAGTAGGTTTCATGCAATGTGATTTTCTTCTATACCAGAGTTGATATATTTACAAATGCATGAATTAAAGCTACACTTCAAAGTAGAAAAAAGTACAATTTTAATTATACCAATGTAGTGTTGCTAAAGAAATGCTCCCTTATAAAATATATTTTATGACAGTTACAGTCATTCCAAAGTATAACATACATATTAAGAGAGCAATTACTTGTAACAAATAAATAGAATAATGTAAGAACACCACTGAGAATGATGATATCAGTACCATAAAACAAGCCAGTAAAGATTCTGGATTTGGTTGAGACTACATATATATATAAAAAAATGAAACCGTCTACTGTACACTGATCAAGTACCCTTTTATTTGCCCATACAGGTGTGTTGATGAATTAACAAAAACAAGGAATCTCAAAATTTTCACTGTGAGCATATGTGTGTCTGTGCCTGTGTATGTTTATCTAAAATGGACCCAATAAACAGCTGCAGACCATCATGTATGGCCTTTGAAATAAAATTAAATGGATCTGCAAATGATCAAAGGTCAGAAGCAGCTTTAAGTTTACAATTATACACATATATTTGCTGCTGACCCTATGATAAAAGGCACCATTTTAAACAAAACTCAACCAATTGCCTTCATAATTACATATACAGTGTAATGATCAGCTATATTAGTTTTGGAGAAAAAAAATCTTCTCAGCCAGATGTGGCAACAGGGCTATGTACAAACTGAATATATTTACTATTTAAATAGGTCTGCTTCTTCACACATTAGGGTACTTCTCTCACCAGCAACTTTGCACCTTTCTAGCAATAAACGTCTTTCTTAAAGCACTATTAGATGATACTGCTACAACATCAGGAACAGCATAACTTCTCAAACCCTCTCTTTTAATCTAAATATGATTAAAGAACTGAATGCTACCTTAAATTTTTTTCGTCTTTATTGTTATTTTTTTTTTAATAAAAAAAATTATTGTCTGGAAAATGACACTTCATACAGCCTCAAAGTTGCAAAATTACCTCTTACTCAATACTGACTCAACATGTAATTGTAGACAATTAAAATGTAACTACAAAACTGTATATATGGTAACCGGTAACATATATATGTACATAAACACATTGTATATATATACATACATATGGGTACACATACAGATGTTATCACTGGTCAACCTCAAAAATACAATAAAATTGTAGAATGAAACCTAAAATTAAACCATTTATTCAGACATAAAATGTGAATCCTACCTTCTACTACTAATGAGAAGTTCCCAAAGCTGATGCATGAAAAAGCACCTGAAAGTGCCCACGGACAGTTCTTGAGTGAGAGAGTGAAAAAAAAAAAAAATAATAAAATAAAAAATAAAATGACCAAAACACAAACAGAAGAACTTTTGTCTGCATTATAAAAGGGGTATAGACACAACAAGCTTGAAGAAGATAACCAAACAGTTTTTTTGTTTTTGAGATATAACACCAGGGCAACAATCTCCAAAACTTATCTTTGCCAGCCTTTCTAACTTTTTATCTTATCAGCACCTTATCATGCACAAGACGAATTAACTGCATTTGCCTACAATGCGTTCATACACCCGTTTCCCTTCTTAGTGGCGAGAGTTGTAATCCTTTCCGAAGCATAACAGATTCTAGGTCCCGGTCCTCTTCCATGTATCTGCAAGAGAGAATTTGGGTTTCTGATTTGACTGACTTTAATGCGAGTCTAATACTAAATCATTCAGTAATATTTCTAGTGCGTGTAACTGATTAAATTATTCAAAACAATCTAAATCATGAACAATAATAAAAAAAAGTATTTCTCATTCCAACAACTAATAAAAAATATTAATCATTATGTCTAAAGGCTACAAACTAAATTCATTCTATATGAACTACAACTTTATATATAGTGTATACAATATGACTTCATGCACATAAATGAATGAAACTAAAGGAAAACTAAACAAAAAATTACCACCAGAGACATGTGGAAAGACACTTCATTGATATGGATAGGTAATTCTGAACAATTTTCCAATAAGAAAAACATTAATCTAAGGGAAAGAATATTATTAGTAACAGCTGGTTTGAGTGTCCCCAAAATAACCCAAGCACTATCAATCTCTGATCATAAAAATCATGTTCTAAGAAAGTAAAAAAGGAAGAAAATACTCATGTGAAAAAAGAATGAAAAAAAAAAATCAGTGAAAACATGTGATAAACTTCATTCACTCTTTTATGTTTTTTAACAGTGAGGAATAAAGACCTTCTGTTTAACAATGCATCAATTAAATCTAAAACATCTTCCATATGTTGGGGGCATAAAGATGTTCTACTTACTGTTTAACTTCAAATGCTATGCCTGATTTGTCTTTGAGTATCCTGTCTATTTATTAATATAAATAATTCTTCTTCAATCACAAGTAACATCCATGCTCAAACATGCATTTTGTGTTAGTGTCATATCCTTTCATCCATAGCATTGCTTTCAAATATTAACCATGAGCAGAAAAAAAACATACAATAACTTGAAGTATGGTCCTCTCTTGCATCAACATGAATTTAATCTGTACTCAAATCTTATGCTCAAAATTGGAAACTAGACTGGTTGTTATACAAAATGAAGAAGTTAGCTGAACACTGCAATTTTCTACAAGGTGGATGGTGGTAGATGACAAGTTTTGAGAACACTAAAAAGAAGAGATGTGTATGCACTCAAATATTCATAATGCATCATCCGACAGCCAAATGCATGCATATATGTATATTGAGTGTATGTACATAAGTAAAGGCACATGCACATACCTACTGGCACACAAATACAACACAAACATAAACAATCAAAATAATGACATATAAAACCAGCAAAAGTGCACACACTTCTACTAACTTACACAAACATTCACAAGCTAGAACTTACATAAATACATGTACATAAAGGATCATACAATAAAATAAATACAAATACCATGCATGCAAGCACACACAAAAATACACACATACTCGTGCATGCATGCACTTATCTCTCTCACTCACTCACTCTCACTCACTAAAATTATAATAATGAGAAATTAATCAATAAATAAATTACAAAATATAGGATGCACACAGCATAAGGGAGACATGGACAGAGGTTGGGAGGGAATCTGAAATCAGAGATACTGGATTGTAATAAATATTTTTTCTTTCATCATGTAAAGAATAAAAAAGTACTTTTTAAATATTCTAAAAAAAAAAAAAAAAGAGAAACATGGGATGGGGAAGGGATTCAGATATACACACATGCATGCATACACATCTCAAGGTTATAGTACAGATCATTTATTTAAGCATAAAAGTTGGGAAAAGGAGAGCCTCACTAATCAGAATTCAAGAATGGAAACTGTGCTACTCCAATCAAATGCATAAGGAAAATCAAACAAAGGAAAATACTCATAAAGAATTGGATAAAATCAATGAGAAAGGAAAAAAGGAACAAATTAAATGCATCAAAAATATTCTATTGTGTTAAAGACATGCACTTACATAACACTCTAAATCACAAAAAAGCACTACAAATCTTCAGTTAATAACAAAATACAAAGATCCAAGCTGGTAAATAAAGATCCACTAATAAATAACTCAATCATTAATGAATTAACTGCATTATTACCATTGACAGTTTCGTTCACATAATTTGAAAATTTCCCTTCGTGAAAATTACAAAATGGTAAACATATAAACTTATCATGCTTCAGTAAACCCAGCAACATAACTGTATGTGAAAAATGGGCTCTGAGAACTGCCAAAGAAGGGAAAAATGTAAATGAAAATATTATCAAACTGTTCATAATGTTTTCTGTATTTTGGTTTAGGCATAAAATGCATGCAAATAATATAATATAAAAAGGCCATGTACTTTTGTCTGTGACATTATTGCATTTGTGGTCTTGCATAAATTGCTTTTCATTAAGTGTCATGTTTCTTATATACAACAGCATTTATTCACCAAGAGCAAGCAGTGTGCAATATTTATATTCGACCACAAACCAAGTGTACAAATGAAGCCGATTAATTCCATTAGTAGTTAGAGAAGTTGCAATACATAGCAGTTTAAGTGTTAGTGTTGGCTGCTTCAGTGTAACATGACGGGCACTTACAAGGTGGGTGAGGCCGGTCAGAACAACAGCTTGCCAGCCAGATGTCCCGAGGGGAAGAACATGTGAGGGAGAGGCTATGAGAGGGGGAGAGAAGGGGAAGTCTGTCTTGCTTGTCCTGAGGGGAGGTGCAGTTCAAGCCTCCACCTTCCTTTTGTCATGCAGTGATGTTGCTTTTGTCTGAATCCCTCCCAAAGAACTTGGTCTTATACTTAAGAAAGGTTCAAATATACAAATGGTTATATTGGAAAGCTCCTTAATACGATTAACTTAAAACTATCACAGTCATGCATTCTATTCAATGCAAAACAACATGCCTTAACAATAAATATAAAAATCCCTTAACATAGTCTACATGAAAACATAAATCAGACACTTATTTTAATGGATGTCAAAACCTCTTCTACAGCAAGGCATCAGCATTATATACTCTACATTAAATATTAGAAAGGGGATGGACCCTGGTAAGTTTCATTGAGAATTAATGATAACAATGACATCATGTGAGGCAAGAACCAAACACAGACAACAAAGATTAGGGCATAACCACATGCAGTGCTTAATAGTCTGGTGAAGAGAGTACTGTTACTGTGGACAGGATTCCCATTAAACCTCTTCAACCTTGGGCTATTTATCTCACCCATGCTGTTGATGGGCATGCGATACGGAACGTGGATGGAAAGGCTATAGCGGCGATAATGAAGGGGCGGGTCTGAAAAGGGCTCCCCATCTCCTGGGCTAAGGTCTGGTAATGTTGTGCGCCTTACACGGCTTAGTCTGCTGAAAAGGTTCACCTTCCTTCGAGCGTGCTGAGCATGCGTGCACATTCTGCTACATGGATCTATATCAAAGACACTTGGCTTGCTGTTCTGTGGAAACTGATCAAACTGACTAGAGCGTCTGCTTGAAGCTACAGAAACGTTAGCTGAGCTCTGGGAAGAACATGAGGAAGGAGGTAAGCTACCATGCAGCACTGATGTCAAGCTAGAGCACTGGCTTAAGTCTGGGTTCAACAAGGATGTCAAGAGTCCTTTGTTATTAGCAGGTAAAAGGGAAGATAACTTAGAAAAGGATGTTGTGTGTGAATCTTTAAAGCTCTGAGGAATGGTAGTCAGAGAAGGTGAGATGGCAGTGGTGGGGGAACACTCGATTGAGTTGCAAGGCAGGCTGGTTATATGGATTTGGGGAAGCTTTTCATTGGTGTCTGAGGTACTGAGGGAAAGGTTTTTGTTCGAGTGGTGGTGGTGGTGGTGGCTGTGGTCGCACCTCTGTCTGTCCTCCTCCAACATGTTGACTAAGGCATCTTTCTGCTCCAGGATGTTCAGGATTTCTGCGAGTATGGTACCTTCTCGGTCTATGTCTTCTCGCGACTTTTCATGTTCTGCAAAGTGATATTTTTATGTTACACAACATGCAAGAAAGCTTAACTTTTATAATTATTTACACTTTATGGCATATTTTACCAAATACAAGCCTTGGCATACTATTACAGCTGCTGATAAAGCAATATATATTTCTTAAAAATCATGCATATGTATTCCCACACTAATTCCCTCTCACTTTCATCCTTCTTACTCTGAATTCTCATTCACTCACTTAAGAAGATACAGTATGAATGGAAATTAAGAATTCCATACTCATCCATTATACTATAAACCCAAACATACAATCAAGTGTATGAATGAATACTAACAATCATATCGGCAAACACACACTCTTTCTTTCCCATTATATCATGTCTATACTCATACACTCATTTTCCTACCTTCACCTACCTCATTACCCCCCCCCACACACACACACACTCTCTCTCACTCTCACTCTCACTCTCACTCTCTCTCTCTCTCTCTCTCACGCATGCACATTTTTATATCTATTTAAATTTTTCCTACAATCTAATATATATTATTCAATTGTCATATCTTTACACTAACATAAAACCATAAAGCAATAAACAAAGCATCCATATACATTTATGAAAGCTATCATCCCAATTAATGTACATACATTTACATTTATACACACGCATTCAAACATGATGCAGGTTTACCACCTTTAAAATTAAATAGTCTTCTCTAAAAATCAGTACATTTCTATAGCCCAATACCTACACCTTCTTCCGTTCAAGATCTGAAACAAAAAGAGCCTGCAAAGAACATGCTTCTTGCATTAAGGAACATAACAAGTCTCAAGTACACCCACCAGAGAGGGCCATGCGCCGCCTCAGTTCATGCTCTAGTCTGACATGCCGATCCTCCAGCTCCAGCTCCTTGGCACGGACCATGAGTTCCTGTTCCCACCGGACGAGGGCATTCTTCTCATGGACCATGGAGAACCAGTCACCCATTAGCTCGGCCTCATCACGATTCGCTCCGCCCTAAAGGTTTGGAGAAGAAAAAAAAATCTCTTGGTTGTCTGATGTAGTTGTAACATTTGGGAGTACTTACAATGCTTAATGTTATTATACTACAGCAAGAAATTCCAGTCCTTGTTATTTATATGCTATCAAATATCTGACATACTAATGGTCCTTATGCTACTCTAGGTTTCACATAACAAAAAAATACCATAACAGAGGATTTCAATCTATTATACTGGAAATCTACTATGCTGGAAAACCATGGTGTAATACATACACCTTCTCCCCGTAATGCCTTTTCCACAGCTACTCCTCGTTCCTCCAATTCTCTCGTCTTCACTTCACATTCTTCTAACTGCCGCTGGATCTCCTGTGCCATTCTCAACCTGTGATTACCATCTGTCTTCAGTATTTCTTTAAAACACTTCATACACAAAAACATTTCAAACCCTTAAAACCAAGCTACTTTATCTAGACTTCTCAGCCAAGAGCACTCAAACTTTTTTGAAACTCTACCATAATTGCAAGCCTACACAAAACAAAAATAGAACCAAACCAGCATAAAAAACTTTCAAGGTTATTCTTCCATCCTCCCTTCCTTCCTTTCATTCCACTAAGGCCCTACCTCTTTAGTTCTGCTTGCCGTGCTGCTCTGAGTGCCGCATTTCGCTGTCTGCGACTGGCTGAGTTGGAGCCTGGGACCTGGCCGCTTCGATCCAATGTACCACCTGGTGTTCCAGCTGGGCTACCACCGTCATCATCCGAAAGAGATTCCTCTGTTGGGAGGAGTTTTTCTTGTTACTGCTATATAAAACTATCTTTCTTAGGAATTGTAATGAATATGAATGCAGTATTTAAGATATTATATCTCAATTACTACATTTTCATCTACACTGCTTTAGTTTTGTGAAAATACATTTGATGGTTATCTGGATTTTTATTCATAAGCATATCCTATATTAATTTAATCACTAATAGTGCTTAGGTTAAGAAATAACTGACACAGAAGGTGCATCTGAAAAACAGGTCTTTATAAAAACTTATTATTCTATTCATAAGAGATGTCTAATAATCAGTAATTCATCCTTTTTATTTCTTTTCCTTTGCCACTGAACTTTAATTTAAAATACCTATGCAAATGCTGATATTCAAGAATTGTTTAGGATAATAATTTTTCTTTAGATCTTAACTTCCTAATACACAGTTGGAAATATTCTTTAGAATAGTTAACTGCCTTTAAGAGCCTGTAAATGAATGTTGTCGTATCATATTATAAAGTTTTTAAAAACAATAATTACGTAAGATCTTACATCAAACACATTCAGCATATAGCATGCAAATATATCATATAAATATATACTACATTAGACCAATTAATATCAACTCACAACAGTTAATCATGTTAATAATAAATAAAACATAAAAAAACACATCACCAAACACTTTTAACTAAATTTGCACTACGCATGCTAATACTACATCACTAATGTTTATAAAATGAAAATGATCTTAGTGCGGAGAAAATAACACGTTTTCTTATGCTGTGCTGAAAGGTGCACAAGACTTTACGAAGAAGGTGATAAAACTGGTAAGCATGTTTCTTAGGACTTGGAAAAAAAGGAAAAACATATTTTTGCTTTATGCTACATAATGACTAAGATATGTGGAAAAAAAAATGCATGTATCTCCACCTTAGCATCAAATTACAAGAACAAATGCTCAGGTAAAAGAGGAAAATAATTAAGAGGTTAAAACCACAGGAAAAAATAACCTATTTACCACTGATGAATGTAACTGATATATTACACACATAATGAGGTAGAATTAAATCTAGGGACAACGGGACTTTGGACAATACTTCTTGTATATAACGAGTCAAAAGTTTGCTTTGTATTTATGTACACAGAACCTATGACCAGTAGTTTTTTCAAAGACTAAGAAAGGGTAACCAGGACTGGATATTGAGATCTGATTCAGTTCACAATATCAGTTTAGTATTGCAAAACACGCAAACTTTTATAGCAACGGACACCCCATAACAAGAAGAGATAAAGGACTGAGGGATAAACATAACATCTGAAACTACCAAATCGTGGACAAAATTGGGTGTAAAAAAAAAAAAAAAAAAAAAAAAAAAGGAAAATATATATTGTATATACATACATCTATATCTATATCTATATACATATACATATACATATATATATATATATATATATATATATATATATATCATATATATATATATATATATATATATATATATATATATATATATATATATATATATATATATATATACATATATACATACATATATACATATATATATATATATACATATATATATATAATATATATATATACATAATACATACATATATACATACATATATATATTATATATATATATATATATATATATATATATATATATATATATATATATATATATATATATATATATATATATATATATATATATATATATATATATATATATATATATATATATATATATATATATATATATAGACATATAGATATATATAGATATGTCCCCCCTCCACACACACACATTATATATATTATATATTATTTTTTAGTTCCATAGTCTGTCTGCCAGGCAACCCCCAAGCCATTCAACATGGCTCTTACAGAATTTACACCAAACATATAAGGAAGGCAGTGTTCCACTACTAAACTGGCTCCTATTCAATATTCTTTGTAAATTAATTAATTCAATATACTCTTAGTCATTGACATACCAACTTAAATATGCCTTTTCCAAACATGTATCATGTACATGACATATCCCACTTACAATCATGTTCATTCAAATGTGCTAAATGTCTTATAATGTGTCAGGCCAGATATCCATGTTATTTGCAATAATCTAAAGTAACAAAAATGAAAGTCCTTTTGTTCTGATTTATAAGACCTCATTTCTATTCAATATCAAAGTACACAGAATGGAATTATTACTTCATTAATGTTACGAACTAAAGAATCTAATTTTCCTGTGGAACACTATTTACAACAGCACTATAAACTGCACATATTGCCGTAGAGCACCATAAACATTGTGGCAAAAGCACTTAAGACTGACTGTCAGCTACTAAAAAAAATAAAAAAATAAAAAATATCTGACACACTGAATCCCTTTCAAGTATTACCACTGCACCAAAAACATGGTTAAGAGGAAGAACGCACAGATTAAAAGTTCAGTCAGAAGCAGATCCCAGAGACTGAGAAGCGGTGAAAAATAAGCTCTGCTGCACAAGTCCATTGAATTTCTTTTTCCAAACACTGCCTGACACAACAGCAAATTATTTACAGGTTCAGAATCATATCTAAAGCTGTTCTTCAAAACCAGTCTAGCCAAATGAGTTAAAAAAAAGAAATAGCAGAAGCATAGAGTGCTGAACTTGGTTTGCACTGAGAAGAGAGAGAGAGAGAGAGCGAGAAAAAAAAAAAAGGATTTTGTTGCTTGTAAATGCCAACTAATCCAGCCCAGCAGTTATAAACCACATATCAAAAAATTAAAGTGTTAAGTAGTTAGAAACAAGTCAGAAGTTATCTTCATTATGGATCTATGGCAGCTTTGGTGACGGGCGCAGTTGTCGGGCGCTGGTTCCGGTACTGTACCTTCGATTCTCGGGGTGGCGAGACGCACTTGGGGAGAGGAGGAATATGCAGATCCTGACAGCATGTAGACAGGCCAGGCATACAGCCAGAAGGAAACAAGACAGTAGGGGACAAAGGTATCAGTCACAAATTTGGGATTTGTTACTGGATTCAAGGCGTGTTGAAGTGGTTGACAGAGGAATAGGGTGTGACCATGTGGAGAGTATACACACGAAACACACGCAGACAAAATTAAAATCAAAATAATCACTGCATTAAGGCTTACTTCTGGGTTAGTCTAAAGTTTGGCAAACCTGTTACATTTCATAAAACAGAAAGAAAGATGTAAGAGTCAGTTCAATTTATCTTTCTTCTTCCTTTCTTTTCTTTTTTCTTTATAGTAAAGCAGTATGTTCTGATGTCAGAAAAGGTAAAATCTTAAATAATTTTAGATGAATTTAACATGTTGGAGGGAATGAGGTGGAATTCAAAGGAAATTACAGTTTTGTGTGTGAAGAAATTAAATAATATTACATGTGTGGGGGTGCTTGTTCTGGTGTTGGATGCTCAAATCATAAAAAAATATAGAAGAAAGCGAGGGATGTTTAAAGGGTGTACAAATTATGAGTATTATGCAGTAAATATTCATCTACTTTTGCTGCACAAAAGAAATAATTAAAATTCTGCTAAATGTACAACACAAGGCATGAGCAACTTATAAAAGATGTATATTGATCCCCTTAAAATGTACATGAACTACTTGTTAGTTTTACTCACAATCACATACCTACAATTCACAATCACAAAACGCTAAAAAAGAATCATTCTTGATATTTATAAGTATAAATATATGTATAAATATATAAACAGACACACTTCATAGTTGATGCATTATGTGCAATGATAAAAAATCTAAATCATAAAGCATTACCAAAGCAAATCCAAATCTACCTACAAATACCACTACATAAAAGTTACCTATGAAACAGAACAAATGGTATTAAATAGATAAATAAATATTAAAACAAATCTAAAAAAAAAGAAGGAATAAATACTAAAAAAAAAAAAAAAAAAAAAAGAAAAAACAAAAATCACATGACCATCACAAATGGCACCAAGTAACAACGAATACAAATGCCGAGGCACCAGCTGGGTGCTGGCCCAGGTTAGTCACCTGATGCTTGAGGTGGTGATGAGGCTTTAGTGAATGGGGAAGTTAGGGAGGAGAGTGGACGGCGGGAGGGAGAAGTGGGGAGGGAGAAGGCAGAGCGGGTATCGTCACTGCTCCCACGGTCATCAAGAATGTCAGCACTGGTAGATCTGCCCTTCTCAACCTGAGGTAGGCGAAGACAACCGATTAGGAGGATCATTATGGATTTTGGATTTACGACAGTAATATCTTGTAAGCTACTTTTGACAAGAGGGAACATCTCATGGACCAATAAATACACATCAAGAAAAACTATCTATCTTGAAAGTAATCAGAATTTTGAAAAAAGGGGAACATGCACAGTATGAGATATAAATGAGTAAACGCCAATAATATCCATATACATGAAAATAAATATTGTAAGTGAGAGAGAAAAAAAAAAACAATAACATATAAGACATATAAACCATTGAGAGTGAGAAAGACAGAGAGAGAGGAGAGAGAGAGAGAAAAATCCTCACCGCTTTCTTTTCCTTGGATCTTGAGAGTCTCAGCTTTGAAAGCTTGTCCCTCATGCTTGATGGACTCTTGGGAGCGCATTTAGGAGTCTCTGCAGGGGCTACATTGGTCTGCTGTGCCGCTGCTTTGCTTCCACTGTCCTGTACATCACTGCCTTGTTGCTGTGGCTCATTTTTCTTTTTCTCATCCCCTGATTTGCTGAACATACCTGAGGAGATGATGCAAGTCTATGAAAATCAATTTAAATATGGCATCAATCAGTTTCAATGCCATTCCTAAAAAATGAAGATTTGAATACATCCCATACTTATATACTATAGTCCCTTTGAGCTAGAGGAATAAAATCATAGTTGCAGTAATTTAATTCCGTCCATCACTGTTTTCTAATGATCTTGAAAGATATTTTTAAAATGCAAGTGATCTGAAAACCATCCTGAGGTAATGAATTATTAAAAAAGAAAGAAAAAAGGGAAAAAAGAGGTTTTCAAACTTACCATAACTGAAAATAAGACAAACCAAACCATATAAAAGAAAAGGGGGGGGGGGTTGAGAATGAGAGAAAAAGAAATGTAATGAAATAAAACATGAAGTCACTATGTAGCATAAAGATTTTTTTTTTTTTTTTTTTATAAGTGATCATGTTGAAAAAAAATAAAGAAAGGATATGGCTGTTTGAGAATCCTATCTATTTCCTCCTTTATTAATCTAGTTAATTTCATATGGACTTTAGGACAAGTAAAACCTAATTCTTTACCTGTAAACACTTGTATAAGACTGCGCCTCCTTTCCCGATCCTTTGACTTCTTTCCTGACTTTTTCTCTTGTGTTTTCTCTGAGGCTGGTGTGTCTTCAACCTGTTTGCTAGATGGCACTGTTGTTGACATGACAGCTGCAGGTGCTGATGTTATTGATATGGACTTCTGATCACTCGGAGCATTGGTAATTGTAGATGATGATGAGCTTATGCTTGGCGTTGTATTGGTGGTCGATAAGGTTGCTGTAGGAGCTGGACCTTTGCTTGGTGAGGAGGTGAAAACCTGAAGTGACTCCAGCTCTAGAAGAGAGGGCCGGTGGGTGGTTCTACGCAATAACTGGCTGTTGGGGCGTGAATCTCCATTTTCAGAGCTCTTCGTGCTTCCTCTTCGTTTCTGTCTGTACTCTTCTAGTCTCTCCCTGACACGGTCATCTTTGTTGCACCATTCCTCCTTTTTGCCCTCAGGTTCTCGTTGACGATGCTCTCTCTGTTCTGCAAGCAACTCTCTGACGCGTTCCTCCTTATCTTTTGTTCTAGATTCCTCTCCTTTGACAGGAACATCTTTTCTAACATGGTGTTCTTTGTTCTTGGCCCTCACTTCATCTCCATTAGAAGTTGCACTTGTTCTTAATATAGAATCCTTGACTTGATCTTCCCGGTCACATTCACTTTCACTCACACTTCCCTTTTTAAGCTTTTCTCGCAAATTATCAGCCAAATTAGGAGGACTTAACCCCAGGTCTAAGTCTGTCTTCAATTTGGCACGAAGCCTAGCCTCTTCCCTGACCTTTTCTCGTTCAACAGTGCTTAGATTTGGAGTTGAGACGGGCCTCTCTACTCCTATCGGAGTATACATTCCTTTTAATGATGCTGCATGCTGTGTCCTTGGAGGTGGTGTTGGAGCTATCGTTGTAGGCACCTTGAACAGCTCTCGTTTTGGACAAGGTTGGTCAAACTGCTCTGGATGTGTTAGTGGTGTTGCTGGGAGGTTGTTGTGAGATGGACTTGGAACCTCTTTAATTGGAGAGCTCTTCCTTGGAGACTTTTCCTTCCTGGGGCTCTTTGGTACTTTTTTAGTAGATACTATAATATTTTTCTCATCTTCCTTTAATACAAACACCTCTTCATCTTGGCTATCATCAGCAAATGGTACATTTACATCTTGGAGACTTCCATGTTTCCCTACAGTTCCAAGAACACTGTCATCTCTGAACAGGGCACCAACTCGTACTTTGGATCTATTTTCCTCAGCTTGGAAAGTCTGTCCACTATCAGGAAGATCTCCACTAACTTCTGAGATGCTTCTCTTGGAACCACTGCCCAAGACACTATCTTGCCTGAATGCAGCCCCAACTCTGACCTTCATTCTCTTTTCCTCAGCGTCAAATGTATCACCACTTTCTGGTAAGTCCGATGTTACCGTGTCTAACCTTAACAAGTTCTTGCAGTCAGCACGAATGGTCTTCTTTTCTGGCACCTCTCCATTGGTTAAATTATCTGTACTTCCATTTACTGGCGTATCAACCTTCTCCAGCAAATTCTCCTGAGATGACTGAGGACTAAAGAGTGAAGTACGCGAACTTGTGGAAGAGAGTGGACTAATTGATGTTCTTGATCCTCTTCTTGTATTCTTTTCTGGTGTTTTGCGTGATATTCTAGACATTACCATTTCTCGAATTAGATCTTTTTCCTTTTCCTTATCTTTCCCCTTTAGACTCCTTTCAATTTGCTTCTTAGCTGTGTTAGGTGACACCAAGGAGACATTCTCAGTTGTAGGAATTGTTAGTTTTTCATTACGATTTTCATTTTTCTCCCTCTCCTCAATGTCTTGTTTTGTGGGAGTGAATAAAGGACTTTTAGTTGAATTTCTTCTCACATCCAGGGAATCCCTCACATATCCAAATGGACTCACTCTCTCCTTGAACCTTGGAATATATCCCTCATAACGGCTCTTGGTAACATAATCATCTAGAGAGTCACGACGCTGTTCACTGCTGAACTTTGGTTTACTTTCACTCAAGGATGGTGGTTCAGATATACTTCTGGGCTCTTCTGGAATGTCTTTTGCTTCCTCTGGTGAATTCTCTAACAGTGGAACCGAATCTTCTTTGATGATATTGTTATTTAGTGCTTCTTGAACACTACTCTGGGATGAGTCCTCTAATTCAGTACTTGTGCTGTCAGAAGACTTGCTATCACAGCCAGATAAATTCTCCATGCCAACCATGGAAATCTGTGGTGCAACAGGAGTTGTGGGAGTCTCAGCTCCTAGCTTGGTGTAGCCTTCTTTGATGTGTGAGACCTCCTCAGGGCTGCTGGCACTTTCACCACCTGTGTCCATATACTCAATCCCTTCCAGGTCAGCCAGAACACTCGGTTTTGAAGGCACTGAGGCAGTCTTGCTCGGGCCAGTGGAGATGGCTGAATCTGTGTCCCCAAGGCTCTCCTCTGAGGCTATCCGGGCTATGGTCTTGGATGTACCTTTCTTGACAGAGAGTCGACTTGTCTGATTAACCTCAATCTCTAGGTCTTCTCCTGCGCTAAAACCATCATTGTCCCCAGCCCAGTCAGAAAGTTCAGCTTCTGTGAGTTCCTTTCCCTCTGGGCTCGACAGGACATCTTTTTTCAGGGATCTTTTGCTCTCAGAGATATCCTCATCTAGTGTACTCTTATGAGACCTTTTACTTTCAGATCCTTCATCATCCTCTATCGGGCTCTTCAGAGAACACTTACTCTCTGACACATCAGCATCTAACAAACTTCTGGGGGACAGTTTTTCTTCCACTATTTCAGTGTCTTTAGTTTTCTTACACTCTTCGATTACAATCTCAATAGAGGGTTCAACTACCATTGGTTCACTTTTAACTTCCTCTTGGCTGTGCACACTTGCTTTGCCAATATCTGTGGGTCCAGCTGATTTTTCAGCTACAACCCTTGTCAATACACTCTGTTCTGAACTTGTACTGTCACTTACTTTTCTCTCACTATCTTTGACTGCATTATCCTTTAAATGAGCTTGCTCCTTATGCAAAACTCCACTCACTTTCACTTCAGGTGACTCTACCAATTCCGAAAACCTTTCAATGTCTTCAACTGCATCATTAGCAAGCTGATCAAAAAGTTCATCGATTGATTTCTGGGACTCAGCGACCTTCTGAGATTCAATCAATTCACTTTGCTTCACCACTGGCTGTGCTTCCTCCTTAACAAGGCTTGGGCACTCAGCTTGCATCTGATCAAGAGACCGCGGAGCATTCACTCTCACTAACTCCTGATTAATGGTTTCAATCCCTTCATTTTCATTTTGCCCTGACTTTGATAAGCCAAAGTCATCTCCATCAGATGCACACACTTCCATGTTATCATCTGCTATTTTTTTATCACAGCTAGGTTGTGGCTGAGCATCGGCACTGTCTTTAGATACTGCGGGCTTGGATTTGGCATCATCACTGTTACCATCAGATGTCCTTACATTATCATTCTTTGCAGCTAACAACTTATCTTCCCGCATATCAATTGCTGATGGTATTTTATGGACAAATGACTTTTTATGACCTGAAGGCACATTATCATAATCTGATTCACTTTCACTTGACGAACTGCTGCTGGACTCGCTACTGCTGACTTGCACTGGCACAGCACTGAAGCTTTTCTCTGGTGCAGAAACAGCTCCCTTACTCTTATCACTCTCAGATCCTAGAGATAAGGGGAAGCTTTTTAACTTGTCATCACCATCCTCTACTTTCTCATTATTTGCAGCTTCCACAGGATACACAGAAGATTCAACACGTGTAGTAATGTCTAAGGTGACATCCTTGCTTGTAGTGGATACAGTTTCAGTTGAATTCTTGTCAGCATTAGTCGAGTCTGAAGATGCATCACCCTGAGGCAGAGAAATGGACCGTGCAGGTAAATGTGGGGATGATGGGGATGATATGGGAGATCTGGTGGATGGCACAGAGGTGCTCATGAATGCTTGCATAGCTGCACTAGGCTGTGGGGCTGGATTCAGCATCTTCTGGGTTTCTGAGATCTTTTCCATGAAGCTCTTAAACCTATTGCCTAAGTCTGCTGTTGATACTGACTTCCTAGGTAAGTTTGCAGACTCTCCTAAGAGGTATTGACGCTTCAGCTGCAGGGCTTTCTTGGCAGCAATTGCCTCTGTGGACTCAGTCCTTTGCAGAAGCCTCTTCAGCTGCTCAGCATGTAGGTCAATTTTGCCAGCATTATTCAGATTTGTCAGGCTGGCACTCTTCTCACCCCCTTCTGGAGACCAGTCTTTGTCGTTGGAATTCTTGGCTTGGTTTTCTGTCTTCCCAAGGTCAATCTTCTGTGCAACAAGGTCACTTCTGGGTTCACCCTTCTTATCTGCAGCTGGTCTGGCAGGTGACTTTTTATTCTGTGGCTCAGGGCTGTGGCTCAAGTGATGAGTGTCTTGTGACTCATCGATGACAATTGTTGGAATCTCCTTAGGGGGTCCAGGTTGTACATGATCTTCGGCGAACTCAGAATCCGTGTCAATCTGGGTATCACTTTCCTCACTCTCCTCATCAGATGCAACCTGTGGAACAATAAACCAGTCAAGAAGACACCAAGAACAACAGGTCATACATGAACTAGCAATACAATACCCAACTGAATCTCATATTTTGCAGTCCAAATACCAACCTCTGTATCAGATCCACTATCTGATGTTTCAGCCTTTCTTGGTGGTGCGGTTACATCAATGTTGACCTCCATGCGGCGAAGTTCACGCGCACGTTTAACAGCCTCTCCATCTTCATCTTCATCATCATCATCACCACCTTCACCTTCTGTTGCTGTATGACTTTCATCACCTAAACAGAAATATATGTTTTAGATGTTACTCAATACTATACAAAAATAATAAAAACTTAACTTAAAATAATATATAATGGATATAGAATGATTTCACACAGATGATGAAAGAAAAATGAGGAGGAAGAGAAGGAGGAGGAGAGGAAGGAGGAGAGGAGGAGGGAGGAGGGAGGAGGAGGAGGAGGAGGAGGAGGAGGAGGAGGAGGAAGGAGGAGGAGAGGAGGAGGAGGGTCAGGAGGAGGGAATAAAGAAGAGAAGGAGAGGAAGAAAAGGAAGAAGAGAATGAAGAAAAGGAAGAGAGGAGAAGGAAAAAAGGAAGAAGAGGAGGAGGAGGAGGAGGAGGAGGAGGAGGAGGAGGAGGAGGAGGAGGAGGAGGAGGAGGAGGGGAGGAGGAGAGGAGGAGAGGAAGAGAAGGAAGGAAGAAGAAGAGGAAAGAAGAGACTTTAAGGGAGGACTTACCTTCAGCTCCATATTCTTCACTGTAATTATCAGATTCTAAGTCAGACTCTGTCTCATGACCTGATACACCATCATCGTCATCAAGGCGGTCTGTTGAGTAACGTCTCTGCCAAGATTCAGCAAGTCGACGAGTTTCGGCAGCAGTCAGAGTGCCACCACCCTCTATGAATTCCATTTCTTCATCTTCAACCTCTTCATCACTGAAAAACATTTCATATATATCTAACCAGCAAAGAAAATATTACTGAAAATCTTTTTGACACAAACTTCCTCTCCTCATTACCAAAGAACTACTTACAATTTTTATCACATGAAAAGAAAAAAAAAATACTAACCATATTTACAAAATAGAAGATATACAAGATTTCCTACCTTAAATCTGAATAGTCACTATCCTCATCCCCGTCCGTGTCATCCAACTCATTTGCTGAAGCCCCAAAGTTCCTGTCGGTCCACTCGTCCTCAGAGAGGTACTCTTCCTCATCGCTTTGCTCAACCACGGAATTCTCAAATTCAACCCGTTCTGGTGTGGTCCCTCGGTCCTCCGGGGAGATGGTGGTGGGGGTGCCCACTTTGGCTCCTCCCGTAACAGTCAGGAGAGCAGCTGTTGCACCGCCACCACCACCAATTACCGGTACCTGTAAGAATTGTATGTGCTACCATCACCCATGTGCCATGCCCAGCAGGAGAAGTGACAGCGAAAGACCCTGCTTTTTCCAGCACAAGGCCACTTCAGCCTCAGCATTGAGTGTCTGTGGGAGGCATTCAATGTGGGGGCAATCCTGATGTATCCTTTTTATTATGGGTCTATCACAAGCATTCCACAGAGATATTACAAAGAAGGTCTATCAATTACAGAATAGGCATCTACAACATTATCAAACTACAGTGACCATTACACCTGAAGAAGAGCTGTGCTAGAGGGAGGCAACAAATACTGGAGAGATAAAACTGAATATGTTAACTTTCACCTCTATGTATCTTTGTGTCTGAATACAATGGGAAGAGAGATAAGTATTAAAAAGTTAATTAATTTGTATTATATACCATGGGTACATATGTATGCATATATGGATATATACATAAATATGACAATATTTCTGTGTGGAAGTATACCCTTTTGCTTGGGAAAGAACTGAATCTGCAAATAAATTATAACCATATTTACTAAAAGCTCCTTAACAAACAACATATAATTCAGTATTTTCCCCACCACATGTACACCAATGCTACTTCCAGTGATCCTGTAAAAAAGATATACAATAACACATTCACGTATTCAAATAATGCAGAAAGAAGAAATAAAGTGATCTGAAATATATACAAGAAAGAATCATCAGAGTGCATATCCAAAGTGAAAGAAGAGGAATCTGCATGGAAACCAGGGGTGAAAAATATTACCAGAGGAAGAGACTACTGTCAAATTGAGTCAATCACAGAAGTAAAAGCAAGAAATTCAGTCAATGGTGTCATTCGTGGTTTGTGTCATTCTTCGTCTAACTACTGTGCAGATTTTGTGCAATATACTGGCGTTGGCATGCCACTGGTATTTACAAGTTTACAAAACTGCCATGTACTTTTTAAATATTTATTTATTTCCAACTTGTACAAAAAAACTTACACTTCTGTAATACAAATCAATGTCTGTATATGACACTTTACATCCTCACAAAACCTTATATATATTACAAACTAAAAAGATTTATCACTTAAGAAAAAAAGTGCTTGGGTTAATCCTATGTTAATAAGTTGTTAGTTTTACATACAAACAGTGTCTATATTATACATTTACATAATTCCGTATAAAAATAAAAAAAATAAAAAATAAAAAAGTCAGATTACCAGACATCTAGTCAAGTCCAATATGGACTAGCTCTGAGTCTTAGTCATGCGATGGAGCCATGCAAGATACCGGCTCCATACTTGAGAAGAGTCTATTGCCTTCAACTTTCCATCATCACACTCTGGGCTAGAGTGGGGTGGAGTCGAGTCATAGTCAGTGTCATAACCACAGTCATAGTATGGTCTTTCATATAAATGTTTTGGTTGTGCTTTGATATCAGAAGGGGACAGGAACAAAGGCTGCACAGATGATGTCACAGATGGAGATGAAGTTGGATGGTAGTGAGTGAGAGACATCACGGAGAGTAGTGGTGAAAGATTGGCCTTAGGAGAGGGCAGAGGTGAAGAAGGTGAAGGTACATCTGTATGGGTAGATGTGAAATAAGTTGGGGAAGAAGGGTGTATGGTTGGGGAGGAGAGTACTCCAGAGGGTGAAGATGGCAGACAGGATAGAGAGCGAGATTTCACAGACGAAGATGTAGAGGAAAGTAAAGGTATCAAAGTCTTAGCAGATGTAGCTTTATGTAATGTGTCTAATTGCATAGTCTGAGGACCATTGACACTGCCTGTTGCAATATTCTCTGGAGAGAAGTTGTCAGTCTCTCTTGTCAATTGCAGATTCATGACTGCCTTGCACTTTCGGAGCTTCGCTTCTTTGTTACTAATATCTTTGGCTGAGTATTTAGGGCTGGAAGATTCCTGAGTTTGGAAGTCATTACTCTCTGAGAGATGAGTACTGCTAGACAATTTCACAAATAGTTTAGGCTCTGAATCACCCTTATGGTCATTGTTCTGTGAATTAATATTCATGCTACTAAACTGCTTTACAAGTGCAGTACTGTTGGGTAGTCTGAAACTCTGAGACAATCTACAATTTCTACCATGGGGGAACTTTTCATCAATGTTAATTGGCATAAAGGACACAGAACTGGCTAGCACCCTACTGCAGTTGTCTTTTAACGATCTCTGCCTCTCTAAACACCTTATCCCTAGCAAGGAACCTTTGTCTATAGATGCACAAGTTTGGTCAGTCTTTAAAATAATTTCCCTATCACTGGTCTTGTCAGTCAGATCAGATCCACCACTGTGGTGATTTAGGAAGTGCTTAGGGCGATAGTGAAGAGAGGAGGCTCGTCGTATGAGAGCTGTGTACTGCCGAGGAGACATCTCGCCATCACACTGTTGCATCCAATCTATTGACCCATGACCATTTATTGGCCATGTTTGGGGTCCATTTCTCATCTGGAATCCCATGAATCCTGGGGTTAGTCTACAGGTTACTAATACCAACTACTAAAAGCAAATAATGTGACTATGAGACATCTATTCATGAGAAAAAATGAGGGAAACAAGAGAGTGAGAGAGTATGTGAGAAAAAACAAATCATAACAATTAAAACATGCTTTCACAAAACCAACACACTTCAGATATTAAGAAGCAAGACGAGCCTTTAGAAATTTCTTTAAAAAATCTCATGCATTTTACTTTAACAAGCTCTACAATCAGATAATCAACTACAGATACACTACCTCTAAATCACAATTGTCTCTTGTGATATAAGTAAGACAAAGAAAGAAATGAAGATGTTAGGGAAAAACAAAAACAAAAGGAGTTATCTGCCTAAGAATGATAGACCTCGAAGATTCTGAAGTTTCTCTATGCATTGTGTTTTTCTTATGGATATTTAGGTGTGGTCTCCAAACCCTTTAGAACTATGTCATTTCCTCTAATTCATAAACAATGGGTCTGTGGCTAAGGAAAGTTCAAGAATGCAGTCAGTAGTAGTTAATCATGGCCTTTTTAGGGGACCATAATATTTTATTCCTTATCTAGGTGGTCTTCAAAATTTCAAAACATAAAAAAAAAATCTAATCACTTTTTAAGAAGTTTCAATTCTTACAGAATTCAAGAGTAACAAACTTCTATTTCCCTTCACTGAACATATGTAAAAAGAAAAAAAGAGAGAAAGAGAGAGGAAGAGAGAATTGTAACAAATACAGTATGTTAACAACAAAGAATATGACATTTCATTTCTATAATTCAACTATCAATCATCTTTGCAATGCACATAGAACAACA